GTGCTTACCTGATACAGCGTTGCAACTGTTAAGTGGCACTGTTGCATGCCGTTGCAACATGGTTGCTGAAACTACGATGCTGTTACACATTCCGGAGGCCACTAAATCTAGTGGTTATAGTATGATACAGCTTTGGAAGTACATAGCGGTAATTAATATACAAGATTACCCTATAATTTAGAACATTTAGTGTCATCAAATTTAAAACTTTGAGAGGTTTGACTGGGACGGTGGGATAGTACTGTAATCCAGCTACTTGGAGGTCACGAATTGTGGATATTTAACATATATAGGCATGCCCTGTGGATGCAATACTCCCTGTTGTGGATTAAAGCCAGATTTTTATTTTCTAAATATTAAAACGATACCATTTAGGTTTTTATTTGTTTGCGAGACTATTTAATTTAGGTTTGAATTTGTTAAACTTCATAATAAAGGTTAACCTGTATATACTTACAATTACCTATTAATAATTTAATACTCTTAATTGAAATTGTGACCACACAAAGTAGGTATTTTAAGCCAAGTATGAATGGAGATGAGTGTAGGATGAGTGGCGTGACCTTGTAGTCTTGTTAGTGACCAAGGCCGACATATTCCTTAGACACAGTTGTTAATTAATAGCCCATATTTTTAAAACATACGCTTTATAGTAACTGAAGAAAAGTCTAATGTATAAAACGAGTGCAAGATGCCCCTTTGGGCACTTGTAACACAAATTATTCGCATAGCAAATAGGTACTCAAATTGTATTAAAACCACAACCGTTCCAACCCCGTTAGACAATGACCCTCTCCCATAACTTCTAGCTAACACATTTCCTATGAAATTATGCAGAAAACTATTGTACAACTCATTTTATCACTCGACCATTCTCTGCTGCTTTATGTCAACTTGAAGGTCTGCCTGAGGCCTGAGGTTTATGGGATATTTGTCCAAGGTGTTTTGAGCAATACTCAACGGTAACTGCGATAGCTTACAACACCAGAATATCCTGTGACAGGTATGACAATGCGATATTTTATGGCTCATTTAATGGGACACAAATAATTCGGTACAGAAAGTTTTCAATCAAATTATCTGGGCTTTTCAACGACAGTTAATGTTTACATAGACATGAGATGGGCAAGTGAGTAGTTAAGATGCTTGGTAATTATAGAAAGGAGCCGGTTCTATTTTGAGGCAAAGAGATCTGCATCTAGACCCAGCTTACTTTTTTATCATCAAGCTTTTGATAAATAATAAACACCACATAGAAGTTAAATATTTGATTTTTATGTTTTGTTTATAGGCTATTATGTTAGTGTGTGCGTATTAATGTTTCGACAACCTCATAATGAATGAAGATTGATGTTCTTGACTAGGATCTGAAGAAGGGTGCCGAAATGATCGTCATCCACCCTTAGAGGTATATGAGAGTCACAAGACCATACTGAGGTAAATTTAACTCTTATCAACTACACAAACATGGTATTGGATTATTCGTTTAGCACCTGAACAAGTTTTGAACTCTAAAAAGCGCATTTTGCTTAAGGGTCCCCTCTTTTTAAATTAATCAAGCAGCAATCAATCTATAGATTACCAATAATGTCGTTGTCTTGGTAAAACGGTAATAATGGAGAAATCGTTTTTGAAATGTCTGTAAAATCGCCTCAGTGGTTATATAGAGACTGATCACTGGTAATAACGTACTGAGAAAGAACTTAGAATTATTAAGGGATGTGACTATCCTTGGTCGAAATGGGCGACCCGTAACCGAATGAGTATTTCCCAACATCGCGGTACTGAGCTAGGCATGGGCACATGGACCATGTGACTGCAATCCATGCTACAGTACGGTCTGGCAGGTTGCATACAAGTGGGTAGTAGGCGAGGGATGCGAATCTTCCTTTAGCTTTAGAGGATCCTCCTCTCCTATCTTAGTCTTAGTCGTTAGATGATGATTGCTTCTGTTTCTTCAGAGGCACGAAGTCAAAGCCAAAGTAATTCATCAAGCTGAATTAACATATTTGCATTGGCCAAGTTTACTTCGTTTAGACGATTCTCCTTTAAGAGGTGAAAGTTTTATTTCATAGAATTCTCCTTTTAGTCACATTTTGAAGTTGAAATTTTAGCCCCTAAATGATGATTTCTTAGTTGTTTCTTTGAAGATGCAAGTTTTTCTCCTTTTAGTTACTCCGTTTATGCTGAAAACTTCGATTAACCTTCAAATGGTCAAGTCTTCTTAGTTTCTTGAAGCTATCGAAGTATATTCTATGAACACTCAATGATAAAAGGCCATATTCAAAGTATACTGTATACAATCTTTAAGACGTATTTCTCAGGAAAGCGCAACGCCTAAAGACGTAGCTCCAAACATTGTTTTCGGAACAGTGCCTTCGCAGTTATGCCTTTCCGAGGAATGCCTGGATGTCCTCTTATTTGCTATGACAGTGGTTTATCCACGTTTCCGTCCTAACTAATGATTTCGAAATTTCAAAGCATACGTCCAGTAATTTATAAAATACTGAAGATAGTGTGCACCGGAATCAGCATTTAGATCTTGAAGTTGATTTTGGCACTGGACATGTTCGTTTCATAACATAATGAACTTCTAATACAGTTGTTCTAATTTATTATCCTGATAGATAAAAACTAATAAAATGTTAGTATTTAACACGTTTTTAAAAAGGAATACAAATTAGTATTCCAAATTAGTAAAATATAGTTTAGATTTGTGTTTTTGTATTGCTATGTATGGGCGTGTATTTATATTTGTTTGATGAAATACAATTGGCATTCTCACATTTTAGGAATGTAACTATTCAAACCCTGGTATTGTCTGTATCAAACAACGACCTTTTTTTAGACAGCATAACATTATTGATAGTCTGATCACAAATTGCATCTGGGTAGAGAATTGACCCTGCTCGGAATCGAACCCGCGACCTGTATGTTGTCACTATAATCGCTCGGTATGCCCTAACTTTGCCTGTCTGTATAAACTACTTTATATTCACCCAGTTTTATCACTAATACAAGAAAACAAGTAATATACCAAGAGAGTTGGATAATCAAATCCAGATCGTACAAACGCCTTCCAGCCACAGACACCACATCACCTACTAACTGTAGCTATACAGTTTCAACAGGCTGAAAGGAGAAATAATATCTTCTGAAAATGTTCTTTACACATTTGTCTAGACTCTAGAGTATTATCTGAATTGTATTTCTAAATTTATTTAGAAGGTATCTATGTTAGCCGTATTGTTTATTTTCTACACTTTGAACATTCTGATCCTTAGACGCTCCTAAACTAATATGTACACAATTACGATTTTAAAAAAAATTAATATTTTGTTCAATTAACTAGTAGGTTTATTCTTCTAGAATTGTGGTAATCTATTTTAGCAAAATGTAAAGATTCGATATACTTAATGTATGAACCAATCAATCTAGGCTATTTCCCAGAGTTTTCAAAATGATTAAGTTATTGGATAATGTTTTCTTGGTCTACTTTTGTGGAAACAGTAGGAAAATGTCAATGTTTACTTATTTAGAATTGTTTTAATAGCTTTTTTTTTACTTTAAACTGATTTACTTGTCTTTTAATTAGGCCTTAAAATGTACACGATTTCCAAAACAACGGGATCAGTAATGTATATTTATTTAATTTTAGGAAAATGAATGTTATACCGATTGCTTTGTTATACATTTTGGTAACCATAATTTTCCATTAAGATACAATTCCTGATAGTTTTCCCCAGGCTTTTGCTACTTGCCTTATACCATAGACTAACTTAGTCTATGCTTATATCAATCACCTTTGATATAGCAACTTCTAGGAGTCTAGATAACTATTTAGAAATCATTCTTTGGAATTCATTCATGAGGTGAAAAGGTAGCTAAATAAAGAAAACAGAACGGGGTTCATCACAAAGATGATGTAATGTACAAAACTAACTTATCATAAGAATGAAATAGAATACTTTGGTAGACAAATAGTACATACAAAAATTACAAAGGATATCACTGACTGAATAAGTTCATATCTAATAGCAACAGATTTTCATGGATACATTAATTAATGTTAACACAATTTACAGAACAGAGGGGTGCAAAGTGAGTACAGTACCGTAGTACGAACATTTACACGAAAAATGTGCTACACAAAACCGTTAGGCGTATATTACAATAACAATTAAAAACAATTAATTCTTGTATTAAATATGTGTTGAGAAATATATTTTAAATACTTAACATACCGGTAAATAAAATGTTATAAAAACTGAGCCAAAATGTTATTTAAATACAGTACTGCACTTACTTTGCACCCTGTGCTCTGCATCAGTATAAATATTACAGTATTTGCAATTGTTTTACTTTAAAAACCGTGTACTCTCCTATGCAGAAGCTTATTTTTTTACTTTTGAAAGACACGTTGTTGTGAAGATAATGTATATTTGATTATTTAGTTGACCCCTCAGTCAAAGAGTTAATTAACTAAGTTGTGCACTGTTATGTTCATGTTTGTATATCAACTGCGACAAGAATGAACTGATTTGGTCCAACAATACGTTTTGGTACCTACATTAAAAATAATCACTTTTTAATCTTAATTGACTTAAATCCAGGCGACTTACCTTTGGTTATGGGCTTATTTACTAGGCTATGCTCTTTGAAGTGTCAATAAACTGATTTTACTAACTCAATAAATTTGGCCCTTCGAGCCGGATGGTTGAGATCAAAGCTCCTTCAACCAAAATCATTGAATTTATTGGTTTGAAAATTAACTTATATTTTTAAATATTACCAATCCGTTACTCCCAGAATTAATTTGTTACACTTTGGTAGAGCGTTCCATATCGCAAGATGAAGTTTAATTATGATTCTAGTGATAAAAAAATTCTTTAGATTTGGTCCTTCGAGCCGGATGGTTGAAAAAAAATGTTATTGACCTCGTGCCGATGAGGTGAAACAGTCATATAAATTTGGTCCTCGGGCAGAATGGTTGAGATCACTAAAAGCTGTGGTCGTACTCGTGTTCAGGAGCGTGGTAGGCATGGGTGTTGTGCCCTGTCCGTGTCACCACGGCGTTGAACCCATTATGCTTGTCTGCCGTGTACTCCACGGTACGTACACTGCCATCAGGCTCCACCAGGCTGTATTTGCCCTTCACCACGTCACCATCACGAGTCTCGTGAGCGCTCTTCACATCCCCCGTGTGTTCGTCGTGCACCCCGTACTTGTAGCTGTACTTGGGATGCGCCTGGAAAGTAAACATTCATAAATATGTAGTCTAAATGAGAATATAATTCACAGCAATTTCGAAACAATTTGTCCGTAAATACTGGGGAATATTTACACATATTTGTATAAAGTTGGTGAGCCTAAACAGGTGCCATTGCGATCAAACGTTTTTGTTATCAAATTAGGTCATCGAGAACCCTGGTTCCAGCTAATCTTACTCAGTAACAAAGCTATCATCTCATGTAGACAACACTCATAATTCACACATTTACCATAAAATACGCACTCTTGTGTATCGGAAGTACAAATCTAACCTAAAACTCTCATACATGGCGTAAAAAGAGCCATATACAGAAGTAAGGAAGGAAAAGTACCCTACTTCTCTGTGAGAGAGCGTACCAACTCTTAACAGGTCTGTCAAATCTTGCGGTCGAGTCTACTGCAGATATTCGATTATCCATAACTTGCTCTATGTAGAAGTGAGATGACGATTGACCAATTAAAACACAACAAGCGTCACCAAGCCCCTGGCCAGCTGTGCCAGTCTATAGATACTGTATAGATAGACCGTGTAATCTAGAATGGCTTCCTGCCTCAGTTATGTTATATCGGCGGAAGCGTTCGCCTCCATTAGGACCCGTCGATTGGCTTCCGGATCCCTCCTGCAGCGATCACCTGACCACTGGCGAAGAGAAGAAGAATCGATAGAATGCCTCCGTCCACAGAATGTTTATGATAAGATGGAATACCACTCAAGGGAATCGAATATCCTTAATTTGTGTGAGTTTGACGTGAAGACGATATTTAAGGGTTAGGTATGAAGCTGTAAAATTGAAAATTAGTCATTGATCAAATAATTAAATATGCGAGCAGGTCTAGTGGTAGAGCACGAAGTTTCGGCCCCAGAGTTCCTAGGTTCAAATCCCCCAAATCACCGATGATTGATATCTAGTGTCGAAGGAGCATTAAGTAAAATGTAAAACGGGACTAGAATCCCAGGATGTAAAGGTAGAACATTCAAATGTTTTAATAATGGATGTAATTTCACAATAATAGTGTGTGGTGTTCTCAGAAGTTACTTGACAAGTAAAATCTCAGTAGATGAATGAGATTTTGTCCCTTAATACTTGATATTCAGTTACTATCGAGTGTGTTCATGTCTACTTAACGTACCCTCCCATATGGGGTCTTACTATGTGCGCATTAATTTTGCCCAGTTTCATAATCATCCTAGAGAAAACAAGTAATTTACAAACAAATCGCTAAAAATGTTAAACTAACAAAAGAAATATAATTTATTATTTTATACTTACAGGCAGGGACACTATTAAGTGTACTTTTAACTGAATATGAGTGCCAAACAGCTGGGTTGAAATTTATCGGTAATCCTTATTTAAAGTGAACATTTTAGAACAACACGCTCCTTACGGTTAACTTCAAAACTAATAAATATAAACTATTAATCGATTTTATAACAAGTAAGTTAATAGTTAAGTCATCAAAACATCTGACTCTGTTTAAAAAAAAGCCGACCCCCTACTAAATGCCATGCATGCACCATTGTTAACATCAAAACCCACATATACCCGATAGACGTAACTTTATGTTGCTTCGACTAGCATAGGTATGACAAATAAGGGAGTATATCAAATTTTTTATGATATTAAGTTACAGCAGGTAAAAAACCGCGAAGATAAAAACTAAAATTTTTAAAAGATATTCAGCAGGTCTTTAAAGTTGATTGGACTTCCAAATGTTTTAGTTAAAAGCTTTCAAACGTAACTAGACCTTAACTCTGTTATCATACCGCGGCAAGTCAAATGCCAATGAAGCTGTATCAAAAACCAGTTTTTCACCAGTAAAATTCGCAACATCGGTAAATTATTCACCGGCTTTAGGATACAACTGTCACATAAACAAACAAGACGTTGGCCAGAGTCCTTGGGTAAGGTCAAATACCTCCGGTGGTTGTGAAATATAGGTATCATTAATCCGGGCAAGGTGATAAGTGTGAGGTCATTAATCTGATTTCACATAGTGTAATGATAATGTGTAATTACGTTGGGAATCATAGCGTTGCGTTATTGTAATTATTAACGTAATGTTAGCACCGTGGACCTAGACTTGATGGTTTGCATCCAGAAATTATGGAATGTAACGTTAAATATTTGTTTAGTGATTAGAACATTACCAGTGTGAAATATTTTAGCATTTTACTTTATGCTGTTATTCAAACTAGTCTAATAACGTCTAACCTTTGTAAATGGATACACAAGGTTCAAAGTCAATGTTTAAAAAGTAATTAAAACCAAAAAACATGGGTGACCAACATTTTCATTGATCAAAGATCCATAGAATCTAATCCAACAAAAAATTCGAAACGAGTCTCAAACTGAGTTTAAAAAATGAAAATTGGACTATATTGTTGAAGGAATTGCCATAGATTAAACATACTCCGTTATGGATGGATCATCTTCGTAGATCATATGGAGGTAATTTTAGAGCTAGTTCCTTCCGGTAAACGTAGAGGGGACTTTATCATTTATCATTTAGAATGCGATTTTGAGTAAAAAATAACACAACCCAACCATAAACAATAGCCTCTTGTAAATTGTCATCTGTTTTTACAACCAAACAGGTAAACATAAATCGTAAGCCTTTCATAAATGAAGGAGAAACATTTTAGTCGTCATCAGTCACTCTTAGTTCAATGTTATTGGCATGAACTAATGACACATGAACCAAATTCAAATTTTACAAGAGTCCACTTTCACGTCAAAACCAATGGGTTCCACCAAACCCTCAAATACCACCTCCCCCCCACTCCACTTTGGTGGACTTTGGGTTTGGGGGGTGGTAGGTACCCTTCAAGTTGACACTTAAGTTTGAAGAAACTCTACCGTTAAGTAATACTTATCAAACAAGAAATTAAATCCTTGAGTGCAATCAAAAGCACTTCTGAATAACTTTACATGTAATCCTTCCAGCCTACAACCAACCCAAGATAACTTACATAGTAGTCTACATGGTCTTCTTCGTGGCCTCCCCCGTAGTGCTCTTGGCCTCCATAATGGTCCTGAAGGCCATCGGCCTCGTAGCCTTCGTGGCTGTACAACTCCTGCTCCTGGGATTGGGGCTCGTACTGGGGCGAAGGCCTAGCTAGGCCACAGGCCGCGCAACACATCAACACCACCCACTGTAACTATGCCGTTAGAACTGATTAGGAACATTCCATTAAGTATTCATGCCATAGAATTATAATCGAACATATCAAACCAAAACGATGTGTTTAAGAGCGCGTTTGTAAATAGTTGTGTGACGTCTTAGTAGATAGAAACTGACCAGAGTCAGTTTATGAATTTTATGATAACCGTATAAGCTTCACTATATAACAGGTAAGCATTTCAAACGCATTAAAGCAACGACTTTTTTCCATTGCAAAAGATTTTGATGGTCTCTTTTAACCTAAAATTTGCCTATTCAAATGGGTCACTGCAGAGTAAAGAATGCAAGGGACAAGCTGGGTTTTCTAAAAGAAGTAGTTGTACTGATAAGTACTGATAACACCGGGGCTCGAACCTAAAACATCGCTGCTTATTTCAGTCCGTCTTACCGACTAAGCCACCGACTCACAAAAAAACAACATATATATCCACAGCAACTTGCTTCATCTGGTTGCTGAAGAAAAAACATACGTTTGATATGAGCCAGATGTATGATAAGGAAGAATAAGTTATGATAAATCTAATTTGTAAGGAAGCCCTACGATGGACCCTTCTGGACACCTAAAGAAGAAAGGTGAAGCAGCTAAAAATATGAGAATCATGAGAGCTTATAAAGAATACAAGAAGGATGGGAGGTAGTTAGCTGAGTGAATACAAATTTGTTTTGTGTTTAAATGACAGAAGTTTTTTATGTTCATGATAGAAGTAACTACATATAATCAAAGACTTTGTAGAAATAAAGTACAGGTTGCAAGCCAGCAACATAGTTTACCTTACATATTGTTTCTAAACATATTGACATCGAATAAGAGTGTTTTTTTTATTCTACTTCATGCAGACCCACCATTAAGGTCTCTAATATTTTTATAACATTATACGTTGTTGTTACAATTAATATTTCCCTGAAAGCACAAAAATACGTCAAATAACACTTATTATAATATATTTACACTTATACTGTTTACTCAAAATACATAAAATACATAAATACATAAAAAAGATGGTAAGTGGTGATCGATTTCGATGAAGTCTACCTCGATGATTTCGATTGGACACTCCAATCATCATCAGACCAATAGGTGAATCGATCACCACCTACCATCTTTTATATGTATTTACCGACTTGTGAGTAAACCGTAGAAGTGTATATATATATATATATATATATTATAAGTGTTATTTGACGTATTTTGTGATTTCAGGTAATTTAATAACACGTACGATGCTGATCAAGAAGATATTTAATTAATATTTAATGGAACATTGGAAGAAGTTTGTTAGAAAATCTAATTAGTATTTGCTAGATTACATCATAGAATAAATAAACACCATTTATATTATATTTTATATTATATTTATATTACTTCATCTATGATTACATGTTCTTGGTACAGGCATTTCTTTTATTCCACACCGTCTGTCTCCTTTCAACCAATACCAAACATGAAAACAACGATTAGGTGGAATTTGACATATTCATTGTATGTATAACGTATATGATAATAGCATGCCAAGTACTTGGTTAGTTGGCTTCAACTCTGGGAACATGCTGTACGGTAAATAAGAATACAATAATTATCAAAATATCCATGAATAAGTTAAACTCGGAAGTGTTTTCACAAACAACCAAATCACACACTAATAATCTTCTAATTTATTTCTCTGTTATAAGTGTAACTCATTTCCGCTTTTTCCAATTTACAATCCCAATAGTTAAACTTATAGCAATGCTCATTTGGGTTTCTTAATAAAAGATAAAGGAATTTTCTGGTAGGCCTGTATATTAGAAAACACATTGTTTTAGAAAGAACAGTATACATTTTTTTAGTAAAAATTTGTAAATAAATGTTAATTGAGATAGAATTAATTTCAATCAGCAATGATTATTACTAATTTCCAAGCAGATTACATTAGTTAACATATTTTCATCTAAGTATATAAAAAATAACACTGAACATTTAAGAAAAAATAAATAAAATAGGCTATCGTTTAGCAAATGTAACTAAGTATTCAAAATTACACCTTTTTAGGCTTAATATTCAATTAAAAAGGTAACGTATTCCAAATAATAACTATCACAATTTTTTTATTCAAATTTTATTAATATTAAAAACAACTAAAAGCAACAGTAATCAACTTAACACTTATGCATTTTTAGTATTTTTTTGAAAACGCAATCCTACTGACTAATTGCTCATTTTCTAAAAATATGTACAGTAAATATAGTTAGAATCAACCTAGGTACAAAATATATATTTTTAACCTGGATATTGAATTTTCCATAAGAGTATTTTTGAAATACTAAAAAAGTCAACCACTTAATTAGTAGTATGTTATTTTTAAATACCCTCTAACCAAATTTAATTAAAATTTACCAACATAAAAGATTATATTATAATTGTTTAAGTTGGACATTCAGTTAAACAAACTTGTAGTTGTTTCCATCCTTTTAATTTGCAGGCGTACATTATGTCTAGAAAAAACAACAATTATAAAAATAATATTCAATAGACAATCAATTACACAAAAGTAAATTGTAGCCAAATTTTAACGGTTTTTAATACTATCTAACAAATACTCATAATATTTATTTTCGCTGGATATCCAGTTAAAAAATATAATTACTTTAGAAATAAAATAATATACTTAATTAATTAACAAACCTAACTATTTTTTCAAAATACCATTTCACAAATACATCCAACAATTAACCAATCTACCAATTATACCTAATTACAAGCGAGATGGTGAGATGGTCCTACCTTGGCCATGTCTGCACTATCTGTATCTCCCCTCCAGTCTTCCTCGGTATATATACCTAGAGAAAGCAGCCTATTAACTATATCCGATATAACATTCCATTATTTTACAGTGGCGTGCGTTATACAATGTTATATTACGACAACTGGGTGACACACTAAGACGGATTTGTGACACTACAGATAGAATCACCGATAGTCGTATTGATACTATTTGGTCCTTTTGGTGCTTGGATTCGGATTGGAGGAATTGATTTTTTGTGCTTCAACGCCAAATTGTTTTAGGTTTTTAAAAGGAACGTTCGGCATTGTTCAGTTAGGTTCATCGTTTTTGTGTGTGAAAAATTGAGCTATACAATGATTTTCTTAGCTAGTATAAGAACTGTATTACACAATTTGGTTTATTGTGTGTATTGAAATACAAACTGTTTATTTTTAGGGGCGGTTAAAAAATAAGTTTATTTCTAAAAATGTTGTAGGCCTATGTGGGTTTTGTATAAAAATTAATTTATCAAACTTTTTTTAATACAATACGATAATGACCTCAGAAATCATTTGACAAAATAAATAGGTTACGGTATACACCTATAATCTACGTGTGATAGAATATAAATTAGAATAGGAGTGTTTTCTGTCTATTTATTAATCTGTGTATTTGTTTGTTTTTAGCCAACGTAAGCCCCACTGAACGAGCTGGGCTAAAATTTTACTTGAAGGTAAATTAAAACCCGGTTAACTTTAGACCTATTCATGTCCTGAAACCCTTATGGGCTCTGCCTATTATAAACTTATACTTATATGTAGTTGGGTGGAGATTGATTGGTCTTCTCTACAAAAACAAAACCTACAATTAATGCATTTACTCAATTTTTGGTCTATTTAATTGTTCTAATCTATGATATGCACAACACTGAAATTGAGCTGTTATACTGTGTGTGTATAAATGATAAATATTCTTTTAAATTAGAATGGGATTTTGTTTATTTTCAAAACATATAAATTTATAAAAATCAATTCAATTTCCAATTACTTTTATACCTTGTGCAACGGATCCATAATTACTGTATTTTTTGTTCAGATTAAGAGTCCAACACGACTCCTAAAAAACATGACATGTACATATTGCGTGGGGCGTACAGCGTGGATAATAATGGATAGTTTGGTGGTAAAACATAATGGCCATTATGTACAACCGTATGGATTATTATCCATACAGAAAATTACTTAAGCCTGGATTAAAAAGTTAATGTGATGCATCGTAGACCAAATAAACAATAACAGTGCTAAACAAATGGCTGCTTACTTTTACGATGAAAATTCATTTGGTAATTACTTTAGTGAAAATCTTTAGCTGATTAGGTCTAGAGGTTTTTTTAAAAATGAGCAAGCAGAAACTTTATTTTCTAGAGTAATAAATTATCAAGTTGATCATATTGGTAAAACATATTTGATTTTGGTGTATAGTATTTCTGTAAGGGTCATTACAACGAAAAATGTAAATATTTCTCATTGTTAAAGTGTATTAGATGTTATTTGGTTACATGAAACAAATTGAACTAAAACTGGGTCTATCAGAAACATTAATCAATTAAAATGTATGGTTTCTTAACTTCCATGTCTCAAGACATAGAAAAATAAAGTAAATATAAAAAAGTAACTTTTTTGAAAATCTCAAAATAAATTTTTACTCTATTTAAAACTGACAAATGATCTCAATACAGTACTATTCTAGTATTAAATTGTTTCAAAACCTATAATTTTATGTAAATACACCATAAAAGATATTTGTGATACTACCTTGGATTTGAAATACTGCAAACATTCATAATCTATTACTCAGTAAAATCTAATTGTTCCAAACGTTGAAAAATTATGTAAACCAGTTCGAGTTACCCAAACTGACACTCAGTTTCCCACACGTCTCTTTTCTTCGCTACATTAACTCATCGGGTAACTCACTTGGTGAGGCGAGTTACACAATATTTCTACCGTAAACTACTTTATTATGTGTCCGTCTGTCCGTCTGTCTGTGCGTCTTCTTGCTGCGCTACTTTCCCTAGCTAATTACTGGACTGGCGTTGTTTGGGCCTATTTAACATTCATATTGTCTCAAGTTACTTTCCATTTCTAGGCAATTGCACGAGTGTGTGTGTGTGTTCAGGGTGCATTCAGAATTACAGCAGAAAGTTGTTCAATTGTAAGTTAAAGAATCAGAAGAAGAAAGAAGAAAGGAGCCGATGTCTCTGAAAACAATCGTGGGAAATTGCAATTCTTCTATTCATTATACTTATTTCTTTATTCTGGCCATTGCAAGAGTGATTTGCAAAGCATTTGTATAATACTGTACAGTGAAAAATTTTTTGAACAAAATTGCATTGGCAATAATTTTTGTACGGGTATAAATTTGACGGTTGTAACAATTTTAGGGAAGGAAGTTTATTTCTTATTTTTATGCAGAGAGGGATTTCCATCGCTTAAACACATTATTTTTTTTAGTTTCCAAGTATGTTTACACTTTAAAGTAAGTTCCCCCTTTGTTACCCACAAAAATTCTAATATCGCTGCTTACGTATAATAATACTGTAAATAGAATTCGAAAATCGAAACGTACGTATAAACACAACAAACACCGTACACAGTATTATACACTTTATTATACCTTCTTTGGTATATACAAAAAAAACACAAAAAACTATTACAGTACACGTAAAATTTTTTAAGGCAAACTTTGAATTTAGTCGCGTGATAATTGAGACACAATTAGTATACCATGCTTATCAAAAAACATTCTTAGCTAACAGAAAAAAATTTAGATAGCAAACACAATCCCATATGCAACATGTTGAGCAACTACCGTCATTTGAACAACAATGTTCTGCCACGCATCCCTGTCAGCTGGGCAGTGACACAAGCGGGAATTTTGGCGGGAAAGTATGCTCGCGTGCAGCGGGAACTCACCGGGCGGAACTGAGGCGATATGAGGAAGTGATAAGAAGAAGGAAGATACACAGAGTAATGGAGCTTTCTTCCATATGCGTCGTAAAGGTGTTTATGGAAATTGCCGATGAAAGTGATCTTATCGGGTTTACATCTCATAATGCGTCTTAATTATTGAGAAAATACGGAATTTTGCTTTTGAAAATTACGGACCCGTGCTTGAATACAGTTGTGTACGAAGACATGTGGAACTATACATACAATTACTTACCTTATAGTATTCTAGCTTAATTTAGAAGAATCATTTACAAACTTAGTAAGTTTATAACAATATCCATATTTAAATAATTGCATCTCGTGTTCCGTTTCTTTTTCACAACGATTATACTAAACGATTTACATAGTTAATTACAAAATATAAATCTGATTGTAGAAAAAGTATTACAATCTGCTCAAAATCTTGGGAAATCTAACTTACCATGAATTTTAGGACGTAAAACTTTCTTCAATCCGTATTACTGTAAATTGGTTGTATTGGTTGTATCGTGCTTAATTAGTATTATAGATTTGTTCCTTGACATTCGACACAATACTTACAGCAATATCAATCGTTAATATACAGTAATACTTTAGCAAACCACGATTACCGGAGAATTCAACCACAGGGCCACAGAGTACGCTGGTGCCAATAACTGATTTCTGTTGATTGTCATTGTCTTTGTCCGATTCATAAAGGAAGTTTTTTGTTTACCATCTATTTATTTTTACGAGAGGTCGTCCAGTGGTCGAAACTCGACCAAAAATATGTAATGTACTCACTTCTCTATTTTCACCCCACACTGTAAATAAAACATGTGATTGGAGTTTCTTCCATTTGTTTTGATTTTCTGTTTATATTTCGTTGTTATTTCGTCACCAGCATGGCAACGCATAAGATCCATGTTAATTTTTTCAAATTTTTAAACTCATTTTTTGTGCTTATCTTTGAGCCTATTTAAATTTACAAAGGGATTCTGCACACCTACAGGAAAATTGCTTTCTAACGGTATGCGCAGATTTACCCCACGATGCACACAAGCTGAGAAAAAAGGTTTTAAAGAAACATGCTTGCCTATTAATATATAGATAGATTGTTACCCAGTCAAAAACTGTTTGACTATGTAACAATACATATGTAGTTTATTGCTTGTCCTTCGGTATTATAGCCAAAAATTAAAACACGAAGATCAAATTCTAGCCCTTTTAGTCGACACCAACGCACTTAAACGCTACCAACATTGAATACACAGGCTTCAGACTACAATAGGAGGAGTCACATGAATTCAATTTCAATAGAGGGTGTATTATTTTTGCAGTAAGAGAGCCACTTTGACAAGAAATTATAAAGCATGGAATATTGTACATATTGTTGAATATTGCAACCCAACTCATCTAGTCTGGATTAGTGATGGACCATCATATGTTTTTACATTGTACATATGAAGTTGTTTACTAAATATAATTCAGTGTTGTGTTGTGTTTGTAAGAAAATAAAAGAGTTTACAACAATTTATTCTTTCTCACCAACAAAGGTTATGGGCCATTTGGAATATTAAAATAATCATTTTACAGTATTCTGTGCTTAAAAATAAGTAAAATGAGTTTTGGCTATAGAATTGAACCTTTGAAACGAAATAATTATGACACTTGGAAAATTCAAGCTGAAGCTATATTAATCCAACAAAACCTAATGGAATATGTATCTGGGGAGAACAAATGTCCAGAGGATGAAGTTGGTAAGAATGCCTGGATAGTTAAAGATCTTAAAGCTAAATCAGAACTAATATTGATAATTTCACCTAGTGAATTGAAATTAGTAAAAAACTGCAAAACTTCCAAAGAAGTATGGGATTGCCTGCAGAACAATTACCAAAGTTCTGGTCCTGCAAGGAAAGCCACATTATTAAAGCAGTTAATAGTTCATAAAATGAAAGATGGAGAAGATGCTAGGGATCATGTCAACAAATTTATGGAGATTGTTGACAAACTTCAAGAAATGGACATCACTATCAATTCAGATTTACTTAGCATTATGCTACTTTACAGCTTATCATCATCATTTGAAAATTGTCGGGTAGCAATTGAGTCTAGAGACACTTTACCTTCTCCTAATGATTTAAAAATAAAAGTAATTGAGGAGAGTGAAGCTAGGTCAAAAGACGCTTGTACGAATAATGAAGATACATTGTATTGCAAAACAAAGCAGTTCAACTCCAAGAAAGGTATTCACAACACTTATAGTCATAAGAAACAAGATGAGAACAACACTACAAAAGTAGGTTTCAATGTTAAATGTTTTAGACGTGGAAAAATCGGTCACAAAGCCAACAACTGTAGATCCAAACAAATGGGAAATAGTTTTAAAGCAGAGGCTGAATGTTTCTCTTCAAATTTGAACATTTTAGGTTCTACTTCATCTGATTGGTGTATTGATAGTGGATGTACATCGCACATGTGTGGAGAGAAATCACAGTTCAGAGATATCAAAAATTCAAACGGAATTTTGAAACTTGCTTCTAAAGGAAAGACATCTGACGTTTCTGGAACAGGAACGGTTTCACTGGAATTAAAAAATTCTGAAATCATACATTTGAATAACACTCTGTTTGTACCAGACTTGGCAACAAATCTAATGAGTGTCAGTAAAATAACAGACAAAGGATTTAAAGTGATTTTTGAAAAAGAGAAAGCTGTCGTCCAAAACCAAAGAGGAAATGTAATTGTGGCAGCTGAACGTCAGGGTGGTCTTTATTATGTCAAAAGTACAAAATCTGTAATGGTAAATTAAAAATCAAACTATACAAAAGAACCTGAGATCATAGATTGGCATAAGAAGTTAGGTCATCTAAACGAGGTTGACTTAAAAACAGCTTTAAAAAATGAATCTTTGAATGGATTAACCTTCAACATGAAAGACAAAATATGGAGAATGTGAAACGTGTATTAAAGGAAAATTGACACAAACACCATTTCAATCAAGAAAGATTGCAAATAATGTAGGCTTGTTAGAAGTCATACATTCTGACATTGTAGGTCCTATGAAAGTAACTACACCTGGAGGAAATAAGTATTTTGGAACATTCATTGATGAGCATTCAAGATACTGCTATGTATATTTTTTGAAAAGTAAAGACGAAATTTTTGAACGTTTCAAAGAATATAAATATGAGGTGGAAAATCAAACAGGAAATAAAATCAAGTTTCTGCAAACAGATAACGGCAAAGAATATTGTAATGGTGAATTTGACAAGTTCTTGAAAGAAAGTGGTATAAGGCGAAGACTAACAGTTCCATACACGCCGCAACAAAATGGTTTGGCTGAAAGAAAAAATAGATCATTATTGGATATGGCAAGATGTTTACTGATAGAATCAAATCTACCAGGATGTATGTGGGCTGAAGCTATTAACACATCTAACTATATAAGAAATCGATGCCCTTCAAAAGCTACTGAACACATAACGCCATATGAAAAATGGACTGGAAGAAAGCCTTCAGCAAGACACTTGAAAGTATTTGGATCAAAAGTATTTGTATTAAACAAAGCTTCAAGAAAAGGAAAATTTTATCCAAAAGCGGAGCAAGGAATATTTGTGGGGTATGCAAGCAATTCAAAAGCATACAGAATTTGGATGCCGCAACAAAAGCAGGTTAAAATTGCAAGAGATGTAAAAGTTCTATCAAAAATGTACTATGAAAGAAATGAAGATGTAAATGATTACAATCTTCTTGAGCAAAACGAAATAAAAGAAAGTGATAAAAAAGATCAAGATTTTTGTATTATTCCTATCGAACAGAGCGAAAATAATGATGACCAGTCTGATTTTGACACTATATTTGAAGAAGAAAATGACAGTGAAATGGAAAATGATATTATTTTCGATGATGATATTGAAAATCAACCTGATGACTCACTAAGCTCAAATGAACATTTAGACACTGATGAAATAAGGGTATCACAGAAAAGGCAAAGAACACCTCCTCTGTGGACAAAAGATTATCAAATGTCAGCTACCTGCAATGAAGATTCAACTTTAGAATCTTCAGAGGAATTGAATGAAGCAATAAAAGAGGGCTCCAGTATCAAAACTAAACACGGGAAAAAGTACAAAATGAAGAAATAAAATTGAACTACAAACCCACAGAATACATGGTTGTTGATATTTTTACTAAAGGACTAAGCGAACCAAAACATCACAAATTTCAAAAGTGCCTAGGACTTTTACCTAGCTAAGTTGGGTGAGGGGGGATGTTGAATATTGCAACCCAACTCATCTAGTCTGGATTAGTGATGGACCATCATATGTTTTTACATTGTACATATGAAGTTGTTTACTAAATATAATTCAGTGTTGTGTTGTGTTTGTAAGAAAATAAAAGAGTTTACAACAATTTATTCTTTCATTAACTTTAATTTCACCAACACATATTTTGGTCTAGCTATTTACACAATAAACTACTGTATCCATTCTACGAAACAAGTTATTTCCCGCACGTGTGATCGCCTTGGTCAGCGATCAGCGATCATCAGTTCACGTGACTTGGGACTTATGACTTGCACAGGTTTATCGGTCGCTTTATTCATTGCCACTTTCCAACGACAGGTGTCGGGAAAGTTTTAAGCAGTTCCGCGGTCATTGCAGTCGCCTTTCGTCACTGAGTTTGTTAAAAGGACTATGAGAGATATGCTTAGATAGTCCTGCAAGTCATAAGACTAAATAGTTGATTGTGCGCATATAATACAGGGTGGCGCAGATGGATCGGGTGGTTTTAAAATACTTGTCAAACTGTCAATTTCAAAGGTATTGGATTGAAATAAAGTGCAAAACGTGTAGTTACAATGGAAGTTTATTGACAAAAATTAGTTAAGTTAGTTTTTTTAAATTACATCCATCAAATGCCTTCCTTCTCGAGCGACGCATTCTTGGAGTCGGTCCTTGAGGTTCCGCATTGCTTGCTCAAGCACATCACCAGGAATTGATGTGATTTCGTTGTGAATTGCAGCCTTCAACTCCTGAAGCAAGGGTCTACATGAACAAGCCCCGGACCATTCAGGAGTTGAAGGCTGCAATTCACAACGAAATCACATCAATTCCTGGTGATGTGCTTGAGCGAGCAATGCGTAACCTCAAGGACCGACTCCAAGAATGCGTCGCTCGAGAAGGAAGGCATTTGATGGATGTAATTTTAAAAAACTAACTTAACTATTTTTTTCCAATAACTTCCATTGTAACTACACGTTTTGCACTTTATTTCAATCCAATACCTTTAAAATTGACAGTTTGACAAGTATTTGAAAACCACCCGATCCATCTGCGCCACCCTGTATATAGGGTGATTTTTTTATTGGTGCGGTTTTTAAAACTAAATAAAAAATGAAAAACAACCTGCATTGACATAAAAATGCATTTATTTGAACTACAGTGTCATGACATTAACGTTTAAAAATGATTTCTGGCATATGGGCTCCATTCCGTTTGCGTAGAAAGCCCAATCGAGAAGTCCAATTTTCGAATTCTCTTTCCAGCAGCTGTGGTTGAATTCCGCCAATAACTTGACGAATGTTAGCTTCCAAGTCATTTAAAGTTTGTGGCTTGTCAGCGTATACTTGAGACTTAACATATCCCCACAGAAAGAAGTCTGTTGGCATGATATCACACGATCGTGGGGGCCAGTTGACACTACCTCTAAATGAGATGATACGTTCACCAAATGTATCTGCCAAGAGACCAATTGTGTCATTTGCCGTGTGGCACGTCGCGCCGTCTTGTTGGAACCAAACATTTTCTAAATCCACTTCAAGTTCGTTTAGCTGAGGAACGAAAAAGTCCCGTAACATTGCCCGATAGTGTTGAAACTTTAAATGACTTGGAAGCTAACATTCGTCGAGTAATTGGCGGAACTCAACCACAGCTGCTGGAAAGAGTATTCGAAAATTGGACTTCTCGATTGGGCTTTTTACGCGAACAGAATGGAGCCCATATGCCAGAAATCATTTTTAAACGTTAATGTCATGTACAGTGTCAATAAATGCATTTTTATGTCAATGCAGGTTGTTTTTCATTTTTTTATTTAGTTTTAAAAACCGCACCAATAAAAAAATTACCCTTTTAGTTTTTCTTTGATTTTGTTGTCCTAGGACGCTAGGCACGAGCCCGGAATTGTTTTTCAAATTACTTCAGGCTAGACCTAGGGGTTGTGGCATTATCACATGGATAAAATTCATTGGTGATTTGGTGGGATTTGAACCCGGGACCTCTGGAAACGTAGTCCCGTGCTCTTACCACTAGACCAGCTCGCTCCCCGCATATAATATACTAGGAGAATGAATCATTGTGTACTGACAAATTTCAAAGTAAGTAATCTACCATAAGTCAGTTAACAATCTACAGTCTTACTCATAAACCATGGAATGACGAAGGTACAACAATTTATTGACACAAGATTTTCACGAGCCAAATCAAAGGATGAGCCCCTGGGTGTCCGGGACCCATGGGGCACGGGAGGATGTGGGTACAAAGGGGAAGGGAAGGTCCGAGTGGAAGGCGACAGTAAGGTCCAGGTTCTGGCCGGCACTGTGGAAGTCGTGAAGCAGAGCTGCAGGAACTGTCAGGCAATCCCCTCTCTGGTAAACTTCTTTGGGTCGTTGATCTTTGTGGAGAGAACTCGGGAGTCCTGCAATTGAAAATGTTTGGTCCTTGTTTGAGTTAGGATTAATATTCAACAAAATGTTTGATGTTAATAGAAAGGTATTGTATTGTACAACTGTAAAACGTCGTATACTACACTACCATCTGTGTAGCCGAGTGTTACAGCGCTGACCTTCAAATCTAAAGGTCACTGGTTCGATTCCAAGCGAGATAGTTCCCAGACTTCTATGGCTATGAATGAATGGCGCTATCTAACACAAAGTTACAAGACCAGGATGTGGAACCTTCCAAAACGTAAAAAAATCCATTGGCGTTGAAGCATACACAAAGTTAAAAATCCTCTAAACCATGTGGCAAGTAAAAGTGTTAATTAAAATCCAACAGTAACCGTTTTCAGTTATGTAGGCTAGATTACATAAAATAAAACTAAAGTTCAATATTTTGTGACTCATCTAAAGTGCATGAAAAGGAAGTATGTATTGGTTTACTCATTGTCTATGGTTAGTCCTTAGTCCAAACAATTTTGGATCCTTTAACTTATTTCGATTTTATATAGGCTTCCTTGCCTAAGGCCTGTATATTACATTTTCGCGTTGAAGTAAACATGGGATGAAATCACTAACTTCAGATCACTAATGATATACTGACCTTGGAAGGAGAAGCTGTGTGTTCCCTCCACATCTGAGACCCGCAGTGTGTAGGTGACGGGGGCGAAGTCATACAGAGCAGACACCCAGACAGCCAGAACACGGGAGTCTCCCAGACCGCTGGGGAGGAGCCCGGCGGAGAGTAGTGCGACGAAGTAACCTCTCCGGACCATCTCCTGGGAGTTACGGGCCACGCGGAGTAGATCTGCAGACTTACTAGAGAATCAGTCAATCAGAAAGAGTGTTAGGATATAGAACTTTGCAACATTTTATGGGAATCGTCATAAATGGAGCAGTCCGTGGTGTCATTATTCAGAAAAGGTTGTCACCAAAGCATCTTGACGCCGGAGAATCTTGACGCTGGAGCATCTTGACGCTGGAGCATCTTAACGCTTTAACACGTTGTCATTACACACATTTGTTCGTCTAATACCATTGATCATAGGTTTGTGATGATATGTAAGATAGATATTATAACGTAAATGATAAATGTATATTGGGATCACACTGCTTTAGAGTTTCAAGCTTAACAATTTGTCCACAGTGATCGATTTGCCAGTTCTACCAGTGCACAAAAAAAAAGCAATGACATTTTACCATCAATCTAAAAAAATGATTAAAGTGTGTTGTAGATCTTTTAACCTTAATAAACTAAATGCAGCTTCAACGGTCTAGTAAATTATCTAAGACAATAATACAAAGAATTTGTAAAATTGTAACTATTATGAAAATTATACATGTTAGACATTTTTAGAGGACAGTAGACCCTAGCATCATTCAACCTTGCATTTGCTTCTCACTAAGTACCAAAACGCCTGTGCGTAGAACGTATAAAAACACAAGAGGGGAGCTAGTGCAGAGAGAGAATGATTGATGCCACAGTATGTCACAGTTTAACACTTGTCATGCTTTAGAACATTTATCTAGTATTTTTGCTCGACATTAATCAAACGTAAATCTGATCTTTAACGTAAATCGTAATCGTACCTTAAGTCATCCTCTTCATCCCCATTATCGGCAAGTTTCACCACAAAGAAGATGATACACCTCCCTTCGTCTTCGTCTGTCAGTTTGACGTCATCGTAAGATATTTTGACCTCAACGTCACAATTCTTGTTGACTTTAGAGTGCAGCAGAACTTGGGGATGGTAGAACTCGAAGTGAGGTACAAGTCCAGAGCAGGTGACGATGCGATCACAAGGAAACGGGCAAGTTATTGGTCTACAGCAAAATTATTGGTTTAGTTTGCATACGAGATTCATTAAATTATGTAGTGAAATAAAATTAAATGATTCAGCACTGTTCATATGATTAATACCCTTCATGACATACAATTGGCATCCTTGTGATAATATTTGGCCAGCTGGTCGATAGGATTGTTACAACATTACCTCTAAACATCCACAATTGATACTCTCGTACAATCTTTTAAAGATACATACCAATATGCATGTTCCTTTGACTGTGTAATATTTGTCATCCTTATGGAACAGCTGAAGCCAATTTTATTGTTAGTTCTGTACGTCCAGAACTGTAGAGGTCGTGTTTTGTTTACAATTTGTTTCTTGTTTTTTCAGTCATTTAAAACCTCATTTAACCAAATAAAACGATCATACACAATAACTGGAATCCTAGTTATATAACCAAGTACTAAAGCACAAATCATTAAAATAACCCTAAAATAATAGAAACAAAATTTCGTCCACCCCAGCGATCAGTGTGGACGTACATGAGCTAGACACGAGAAACAAACTTCAAAATTTACAATGGGATGAGGATTCTAGTAATACTCTCCGAATGCTAATCGGGAGTAACAACTAGAAACATTCATGTAATGCATTCATATTATGTCCTACCGCGAAGACGACCTAATCTGCAATGAGTTCAAACTCGCGGTGCTGCTGCAACTAGTTGAAGAACTTCCAAGTTCAGTCAAATGCAGATATCGGCTCTCAGGAGATTTCTTGGTCTCAAATTTCTTTTTATCTTGGACCTCCGCCTCCTTGCGGGCCAACTCCAGCTTCTCCAGAAGTTCCGGGTCCTGGAGGCTCAGCCTGAGACTCTGCTCACTTCTGGACTCCCTCAGAGAGACGTTACAGTCTGACAGAGCCGAGCAAGTCTCAATGGGAAGACTCCGCATGACATCCTCCAGAACATGGTTGCGACCAAGTAGAGGCTCTTTGCATTTGTAGCAGTCTGTTGGCAAAAGTAAACTTTTTAATGGCTTGGGATTTTAGCGTTAATTTAAGAATTGGTTCTACGGAAAAGCTGGAAAGGTGGAGGTATTTCCCAGTAAAATCCCTAAAGTTACGTCATTGAAAAGTACCGAAGTAGTGAAGTATGGGACAAAACCATCGTGGGAAATTTATATTAGGGTTTAGAAATTAGAGACTGGTACGTCATCTGGCCATGGAACAGGTTAAATGGAGAAACTTAGTTATTCATTTGTGGTTTCATGTAATTGCTGGATGCAACTGGTGTGAATTGCGTTTTAATAGCAGTTGGGTCTTACCATTGACTATTAGTCAAAGGTCTTACATACAAAATTCTTCTGTTGTTGACAGTAATAAAATTCGCCCCTCGTCAGATTTCTTAGGAGGGACATGTGTTTTAGATGTTTCTGCCTCTTGCATATAGGTGGAATTTGCCCCGGACAAACATCCCGCCACATTTAACTAAGCTTCGTTAATGGAAACGTAGTTGAGGGAAGCATTGAGTTTCTTCGTCAATGCAGAGTTTTCCAGGTGAATGTCAAGCACGTAATGCCAAAAAGAGGATCGTTTATTAGTTCTGACTCAAAAAACGCCTTAATTGTTATAACCCTCGTAATTTTTAGATGGCAAGCCAGATATTGCTAACCACGTCTCTTATTCTAGAATAGTACTTCATTATCCTTAGATTACCGCACATCTAAGGATAATAATCAGGTCTAAGATGATGGGCAGTGGATTTATCTTCTTCAAAATAATAATATGAGTGTATTTATTTAGACTTTGGTTCATCCTTACCTCTATTGAGTGCATGATAGCAGTTAGCACAGTTGAGATGGCCGTTTCTGCAAGTGAACACCGGGGGCTTGATGGGCGCTACCAGACACTTGCCACAGCGGAACAGAGTGGCTACCTCTGCCACGGGGATTTGGGTTCCAGAGGACCTTCTGACCTCGGTCCTCTGCCTCGGTCCCCACCTGCGAGGCTTCCTCCGAGGCAACTCCTTCCCCTCCATGGGCCAAGCTCTGCAATGGGGTGAGTATTTTCAATAGGCCTATGCTTTGACTAGATATCATCAATACTACGTATATACATTTTTAGCTATCCCAGTTTCAAAAGATTGAATGATGTTAAAGTAGATTATTAATTTTATGTTGCCTGTGTCCTTGAGTAGTAATTATACATTACTCTATGCAAACTTCGTCATCTTCTGTGTGTCCCAACCTAAACTTTCGATAAGAACCCCTACCTACCCGGTCCAAGGAAAGCAAAAGAAAGGGGTTGCCAATATAATTTACTGATTTCACGTATTTAGTGTTGGAAATATTTCTCACATACATAAAAACTTAAATGCCACACGAGGGTTCAGTATTTGACGGAAAAATAAATCAGGGGCAAAACACTTGTAGAATCTCTTGACAAGGTGGTAAAATGACAAATTGGAGTTTCAAATTCACCTTCAACATTGGTGACGATTATCAAGTAGTTTTTGTTAGTAACACTAAAAGGTTGTTCAGCAAAGAATATTGTAGGCCTAATATTGTTTTTTTAATGTTAACGGAACTTTTTCGCTGGACGCTGAGTTATTGGTCGAATTGGTCATTATTTGCAGTGAGATCTTGCTCACAGGACAACAAAACTTATTGGTACTTTTCTGAATATCTTTTTTTTTTCTACCCCAATGGCATTTTTTTACTGAACTTTCTGTACGGCCACCCGGTATTCTATAGAATAGAACCATCAGTTTACATTTCATTTTTGGCCTGAATGAAACACAGATACTTCTGGCATTATTTTTACCTTGCAAGAACAAAGTTGAGAGTTTTAATTGTGCTAATATTACCTCCCCCCCCCTAGGGGTGTAATAACGTTTATGGTTAAGGTATAATTTAAAGTACTTTTAGTTTATTATAGCTTACCGAAAGTTATTGTTTATTATTGGTCTTGGACGACGATTTTCAGAACTTTTTGAACAATTTATAAATTATAATAGTTCATTTGGATATGGATTACATAAATTCAGTATGAGTACAGATATTATAAATTTGTAAAAATTGAAACACTTGCTTTTATATAGTTTACATGGTAACAAAGTGTGTAAGACATTTAAATCTTTCTCTTTCTGACATTGTCGTTTTTAGCAGATGGAATATTGAGGGATTTCAAACTTTACATTATTTTGAAAAACCTACCTAAGCAATATTGTATAATAGAAGTAGAATAAGATAAAATATTAAAATAATTTTAATGAATGGTTAACCCTTAAGGAATTTATAAATATGTATTATGTGTTATGTTGCTATTATTTTACGTTGGTACAGAAGTAATGACGTTAGAAACATCATGTAATTACAGTAGTAAATCTAAGTGACACGGGCAAAACTTTCTGGTTTTTTTTTTATTATTGTTCACGTCCGCGCGCTGTTCGGTTTACCAAGTAATATTATCTATATTTTTAATCCTATAACCACGGAAACTACAATTTACTGAAAATGTTATCCAAACAATAAAGGATATGTTTACACCTACTCTACTTGATAAAAAAAAAAAAACTTAAAATAACAGGTCGTGCCTCATCCGCCACCCATTCAGTAATATGCCGTATTCAGTATTACCATAGACTAACCAGCACAAGGGAGTATTTTTATATTGTAATACCTTGGTAATACTGCAACTAATTGGCCAAATTCATTTTTATGTTTTACTATGTGTATGTTTCAGTGAATACTCTTCGAAATCCCAAATTTAAAAAAGTAAAAGATATCTATTATATACTTAACTAGCTGTACCCGCGGGCTTTGCCTCGTTTTACTTAATAAGTGAGCTCGTTCGCATGGCTCAATCACGTCCTGGTTGAAGTTCGTTCGCTACGCTCACTCACCTTTAGGTTGGAGCTCGTTCGCTGGGCTCACTTGCCTTCAGGTTAGCTCGTTCGCTACGCTAACTCGCCTCCAGGATGAAGTTCGTTCGCTACGCTCACTCACCTTTTGGTTGCAAATTAGCTGTTGTCATAGATAAAAAAAAAATAATAGTGATGCACCCTGTTGGTAATCCTTGTAAGTTTTTAATGCTTTTGCATACCATAGAATCAACTTTTTAGTTGAAACAGCTGACTAAATTATTTAATTCCCTTTGAATATGAATACTCATAAGGTTAACATGGGGAACTATAGAGCCACTGGGGCGGAGCCCGAAAGGATTTTTGAGATAGGAATATGCCTATATGTTAATCGGGAATGTGAGCTATCATCATGCCAAATTTCAGCAAAATCCGTCCAGTGGTTAATGCGTTCACTTGTCACAAACATACATCCAAACTTTCTCATTTATAATATTAGTAGGATAACGAACCATTTGGTCCAAAACCATCGTTCGTTGGACATAAACCGAACAGTAGATTAATCCAATTATTGTAATGTTTAATATGGTGTAAGTGGCCTTGAGTTTAAAAATAAAGGAAAAATAGTGATTTATATTCTAAATTTAAAATAGCAGTCCCTCTGTAAAACTCACTGAATGATCAAGTACCGCAAATGCATTCATTAACTTCGACTTGACAGTTACACAAATCAATTTACTGCTCAGAATGGCAGCATCGTAATGAATTACAACCACGAGACAAGTAACAGCTGATGTTCGCCAGGTGGCAGTGGCAGTGGGCAGATCAGCTGATACAGATGTCACATAATTTGTCGTACAAATGTAGACGATATCTAACTGGCCTTGACTGTGGTCGAGGTGGCCGTAGACCCGGCGTTTGTACATTACATCGATGGTACATTCTGAACTTTATCGTCGTCTTTATTAGACTTAGGCTTATTTCTTTCACTTACGAAACAGTTAGGGTTTACGTGTCTTATAGAACATGTTATGTAAAAATCATACGTCCATTTTTTTACTCCCAACATACTTACTACTCAAACGCCTTGCAGGTTACTGACTAAGATCAGCTGTTTCCATTAGCCAGAACCATTGTAAAGAACTCAACAATCAGAAACAGTTGGGCCCAGTTAATACTTGAATACTTTTTCATTGAAATTGCCACCATACAAAGTAGGTATTTTAAGCCGAGTATGAATGGAGATGAGTATAGGATGAGTGGCGTTATCTTGTAGTCTTGTTAGTGACTAAGGCCGACATATTCCTTTGACACAGCTGTTAATTAATAGCCTATACAGCTAATGGCAACTAAGGCACCTACAGTTTATAGTGGAATCCGAACCAAATTTCTGCCTCGGTATTAACGAATTTGTCTAATTATCAGGATAGTACTGCGGATATAGTTTTGAACAATCAAAAATATATCGGTATTGACTTTTCTATGGATTGAATCGGGCCCTCATGTCACCACGTCATCTATGGAACACCCAGCTACGCTGTGGAATACAAATTGTGAACAACTATGCTCAAAATATACAAAATTAATTATCAAACTTATAATAATTACATAAAGACTAAGGTGGTAACTTGTTACACAACAGCGGAAGGTCCGTCGGTTTGCCGCCGTTTTCACGCCGATTTCCCGCGATTTCCCGGTCCCAAGGCAGACGACACAAGGTCGTCGACGCTAGGTACTTAACTTCTCGTCGTGACCGGTCAGCTCATTAAATGATCGCTTTGCTACGATCGCTTCGCTCGTTTATTGTTATTACTAGGAGATTTCGGCGTCTGGAGACTTCAGAGGCGTTGGATATCGGTAGGTAACATTCACTGTAGCCCGAAACTGTATTGAATAATGTAGATTTATTATTCCTGGTGTAACGAGAAAGTCAAAATAGTAGAAGATTTGCAAACACGATTCGTAATGAAAATTTATATTAGTCAAATCAGGAGGGGGTGTACTTTTAGAGATAATTTTGAAATTAATTTAAGCCCGTAGAAGGCTTTTATTTTTTATGTATTTTTTTTCATACGTCTCCTAAGGTATTTTGGGCATTTAGTGCCATCACCATTGGACTTCTCATTCTACTGTACTTTTGCTGAGGTGCCCATTACCATTGACTTTGGATACTTTAAGAAGACTCTTGCTATTGTAAAATCTTAAGTCTATTTTTAGAGGGTTTCATATCTGGTAAATTTATTTCTCCTATTTTAATTATGTTACATTGTGTGGACACGATGGTTTTGTAGCATATTTAAAGGCACTGTTACAGTATTCTAATTTTTTTGGCCATGCTCAGTTGTAAAGCAGGGAGAGACAATTTTTAATAGTAATAAGAAATGAAACTTAAACCACGGAAATTACGCACGTTGAACAATACTTCACACAGACTTTGGTAGAGTTGCTAACAATTTAGGCTTTTGATGCTTAACATTTCAAAATAATATACAGGGTATCAACGATTTTTACTTGTAAAATGAGATGGAAGAAGGCTAAGCTAGTCAGGTTTGCCTCTTTTTAAAACTAAAAATCGTGATATCGTACTAATATTTTATGTGAGAAAATTTGGATGTATGGATGGATGGATGTTTGTGACAAGTAAACGCGAAAAATACTAAGCCGATAGGGTTGAAATTTGGTATGATGATAGCTCACATTCCTGATTAACATAATTAAAAATCGTGATATTTCTTATAATTTTCATTCGATCTTTTTGAACTTTGTGTGGATTGGTGGAAATATTAAATGCTAAATAAAAGTGGCCTTGACATTTTTCCATCAAATCAGTCATTTATAAATTTAAACTTTAAAACAATTAATGGCTGCCAATTTGAAATTTTGAATTGGATCAAGATATATTTCGTCCTCAAATGGGTCTCTTCTACCTTATGAAGTTTCATAAAGATACGATTAAACAATTTAAAGACAAAAATGTTTAAGTGAACGATAAAAAAATGCGGATATCAGGTTAACGAAGCGATTTTGGAAAAATTATGATTTTGGTTTTCTCTTTATTTCGACCCATAGAACTATTTCCTGTAATTTGGCTGTATATATACGGAACACCCTGTAGATTCAACTTAAACATTACTTCATTGTAATTAACTATCATAGAATAGACTATTTGTTGCGATGGAATTGCCGACCTGAATACAATAAAAGTAATCAATGCAGTAGAGCGTCACGAATCGCAAAACTCTCTGGTAGAAGATGAGTCTTATTCATCTTTGATTCAGTTGTCACTACTACAGCTGTTATTTACATCAGCCATTGACTTTGAATGTTGCGAGTCTTTTCATCTTGTTTTAAAATCCAAAGAATGTTTTAATGAGTTTCATGTAGGGGGGGGGGGGCATTTGAGTGCCTTGGTGTTGGCTAAATTATTCTCATTTTAGGATAGCTTTAACGATTTTTGCGTAGCTCTTTAGTCATTAGAGAAAAAACAATAGTTTGAGAACAAATTGTTTTGTTAACCCTTTGAGGTCGAATTTCTTCCCCAGTAGAAAATTCGAACAAGGAGCGAATATAACTCAAGTATAAAATATAAAAGATTATTGGAACTTAATTAATGTTTTTTGATATTTCAAATGTTTTGGAAATCAATGAGTAAATTGAAGAAACTAGCGGAGAAATACGAAGCAATAGAGAAGAAAAAAAAGTATCTGAAGAAAAAAAAAGAAGGAAAACTAAACTTAATTATTTCAGAAATACTATTTTTGTTAGGAGGCTTGAGATTTGTAAATGTTTTAGGACCAATTTTTTTATGAGTCATAATAAACCAGAACTACTGATTTCATGTAATGCTACACAATTTGCTTTACTCATTTGGTCACGTATACGAATCTTACGTACTGTCGAATTTTCCTGTTTTACTCTTGAAAACCATTAGTTACTTAACGGTTCTTTATAGAGGTGAAGTTGAATTCCTTATATTTCAAGGGATACTAAGAGTCATCATAGCTCACTCACACGAACACAAATACACATTTTTATTATAGTACTATATTCAGCTTTATGCACTGAAGGATCAAGCCCCGTAGTCACCCAACAGGAAAAACAGGTCACTCAGTACAACAGGTAAAAATCAAAAATTAATCTCTAAATATGTTCGTTTGCAGTGATTCCCGAGTTTCGCAGTACCTAGTCCTCGGCGCCGCTGTCGCTGCCCCAAGTTGTTTATTTTGAGTTGAGATCGCGGTCAGTCCGTACCCGGCGACCCAGCCATGTGGACCCTCTTACAGGTTAGTCAGTCCTTCTCGAAATTTGACAAAATCTCATTTTTTCGTAGATAATATTTTTGTAAACTTTCTCTATAGATTTGTACTGGATAGACCTTAGACATTAACCACAGGTAGGGACGAGTTTTCCTTTCGACACCTAGTAGCATCGGTCCTCCCGATAAGTTGGTTACCTTATGAAATGAAAAATTTTCTCGCTCAAATCACAACCTCTCTATTCATAAACGTTACATTGTAAAGACTACGAGTTAATGGTCTGTATTCATCTTGATCTTAAATGCTAAAAATATAAAATTTGAGAAAGTTACATCGCGAACAAATCTTTAAAAATTGTATTAAATAAATATGTTTTAATTGATAATTGTTTGGTAAACTAGATGAAAACGTTGTGGCAATAAAACTGAGTTTTTAAGTCACTGTAAAAATCAACATTTCCTATTTTTTTTTAATTGTATCTAAGCAAATAGTTTTAAGATGAATGCGTACAAATAATAGACAATCATAAAATATAATTTTAAGAAATTGTTTGACTAACTGCCGGTTTTTTCGTAAATATGAAGGCATTATTACGTAGAAGTTTGTGGAGTTGATTCAGTGTTTCTAAGACAATGGTTTTACTATAGAACTTGTGTGCCTAAATTGTTCATTGTGCTTATAACAGCTAACTAACATCGCATAGGCATATATTTACTAGAAATTGGTGGAACCAATTTAAAAAATCTAAAGTGCAACTTTTTATGTTTTTAAAACTATATACAAATCAAAGTGAGTAAAAATTTGGTCTTTAAGGAAGATTCAGTACTTGTTTCAATTGTTTATTATTGAACAATACGCCTATACTTTTCTGATTTCAGTACAGTACCAATGATTACTGAAATGTTGATAGGGTTCAGAAATAGTTTGTATGGCGTATTAATAATCGATATCAAACTAAATAAGATATACAGTTATTACATGTTTTAGTAATATGACAAGTTCTTATAACTAATTTAATTGTATACAACTATTCCCATTTCCTCAAATTGATTTATTCATTGTTCATTATTTTTTTATGAATTTGTTATCTTGTTTCCTGTTTTTCTTTGTTAAATTACGTAAGCCCCATTCCACTATTTAACATTTTAAATACGTATTTAGTATCAATTGTAACACTATTTTGCGGTTAAAGCATTTCCTGAATTACTTTTACCTACACAAGGGCATTCTTTATTAGGTTAGTTATGGGTCCTTATTTCCCCAATGATTGGCTTAACCTTCAATATAAAAAATCGGATTCAGCTATTGTTACCGGTACTGAAGATATAAGAAAATTGAATTAAGAATAGATACGAGAATATAAATTAAGAGGTATCCCAGATTCTTTGGGAACCCTGTTCCTAATACACACCATTTTGCAAAAAGTTTGAATTTTATAGTTTATAGTCTGGTTTTTAAAATAATAAACTAGGTACTGAAGGACTGAATACTGTACAAAAAATACGTCACTTTCAGTGTAGCATTCTCAACTTATAGCTCTATAGCCTACCATTTTAACCAACTACAGTCTGTATTGGACTGTAGCAAAGTCCAAAGTTTTTATATAGAACTTTACAGGAGTCCTTGATTGAAGGGTTACGCACCAAAGTTAACGCTACCAGTTTCCTCTGTTGTCAGTTCTAACTTGGCATAACAGATTGTTATGATTGAATCTGAATTAATCCTCTATGAGAACCTGTGTTTATATGTAATTGGTTTGATATCGGCGCTGCGTGCACAGCTGTTGGGAACCAGTTTGATAAAGGAATGATAATAGGTTCGTTTCCCGTCCCTCCCCCGCGGATATTGCCAAAACTATTTGCGGGGAAGCTCCTTTCGCTCGACCCTGTTATCAATCAATCTACCGAACATGTCTTTAGAACATTTGGTTAATTGGGAACCACTTTGATGTTTTGCTACTTTTTTGTTGTGGTTTTGTTGGAATTTTATTTGGTCCAATGTGGATTTAGCCAGTTTGTATTACCCATGCTAGAGCCATCTAGAGCTGAATCCAGAGCTCTAGTTTATGAAAAAGTAAAAACAAATGTTTAAGGACCTAATATTCGCTAATATTCCCTATATGGGAAATTCGCTAAAAGCTATATTTTTTTGTAAATAAAATATTTTAAAAGTATCTTTTACTAAATTATGTTGTTTTAATATATTAAAAATATTTTGTAAATATATTCAACCGAAAAATAAAAAAAAATATTTATAAATTATATTTTTTTAAGACCATTAAAAAATCATTTTAAGATATTTTCAAACTATTATGTTAACATATTATTCAAAAATTAAAAAAAAATATTTTAAAAATAATATTAAAATATATAAAATATTTTTAGGATGGATGGATATATATTTTTAAAATATTTATAAAACATCCTTGTGCTGTCTGGGTACTTACAACAGTAATTATTAGCCATTATAATTTTATAAATAAACTAGCTGACCCGGCGAACTTCGTATCGCCTAAGTTATAGGTTTCCCCTAAGACAGACCGATCGAAAGAAAGTACCGTTACGTTTAATTTTCAAGATGATCTCGTTCGCATCGCTCAATCACGTCCTGGTTGAAGTTCGTTCGCTACGCTCACTCACCTTTGGGTTGGAGCTCGTTCGCTACGCTCACTCACCTTTAGGTTGGAGCTCGTTCGCTGCGCTCACTTGCCTTCAGGTTAGCTCGTTCGCTACGCTAACTCGCCTCCAGGTTGAAGTTCGTTCGTTACGCTCACTCACCTTTGGGTTGGAGCTCGTTCGCTACGCTCACTCACCTTTAGGTTGGAGCTCGTTCGCTGCGCTCACTTGCCTTCAGGTTAGCTCGTTCGCTACGCTAACTCGCCTCCAGGTTGAAGTTCGTTCGCTACGCTCACTCACCTTTTGGTTGCAAATTAGCTGTTGTCATAAATGTAAAAGAAATAATAGTGCTGCACCCTGTTGGTAATCCTTGTAACTTTAATGCTATTGAACATCATAGAACAGAACCAACTTGTTTAATTGAAACAGCTGTTAAGATTCATTAATTCCATTTCTCATAAGGTTAACATGGAAAACTCCAGAGCCACTGGGGCGGAGCCCTTTTAAGAATTTCGAAACGGGAAATAGTTTACGTCCGATTCGCATACCTACAGAATTTACACACCAAATTTCATAACTTCACCGATCGTTATGAAATTTATAACGATCGGTGAAGTCGTTCCGGAGAAGTTTGCAGACAAACACTGTGACACGAGAATTTTATATATTAGATTACTATTGTTAAAAACTCTAGCGACTAGCGACTTTTCCATGGAAAAGTCAAAGTTCAAAGTAGGCCTACACTAATTAGTTTTACATTTAGTTAAATCCATAAGATTGGCTATTTCAGCCATTTGCTACAGAGTTTGAGCTTTTTGTCAACATTAAAAAATAGCTATAAAATTGGATTGGGTAGTTTTTTTTTCCTTTTTAAGGATCGAAATGAAACATTTATTTCCTTAAGAATGTAATGAAATAGCGTTTGGTGCCTCTCTCTAGAGAGGGTCGTTTTGGAACTTTTATAATATTTTTAGCAAAAACATATAAAACGTTTCTTGTTCACTGCTTCTTGGTGCTAAATATAGATCAAATTAATTATTTTACCTGTGGGTGCAGGAGATGAGAGAAGTGGTATGGGATGGAGAGGGTGAATCCTTGTAGATTTTAATTTCACAAATTTTAGAAATCAAGCACTATGAAAACAAAACCCACTAAAAGCACCCAAAAAAAGCACTATGCAATCAAGCACCCATTTACTCTGTGCTCCAATGAAACGTTTACAAGTATCTTGCAGTATTGTTTTACTCATTGGGCTTTAAATAAATGATCCTGACTAATGAAACAGCTGATCTTAGTCAGTAACAAAGCTACACAGGTCATCACACACCATTCTACACTCATCCTTCACTCATATTTGGACACCTAGGTGGCGTTCCCATCTCATTGATTGATTGTTTGATTGATTGACTCACTAACTTGCCATGACTCTTGCACACACAGGTGCTGATTGGTGTGTTCCTATCAGTCCAAGGTGCCTCCATCATTCAACCAGACTGGGGTTACTACTTTGACCAGGATGACCAGGTATGACCTCAGAGTTAATGCACCTTCAAGTTTTAAAACCATTATGTCCAATAATAATAGAAAAATCCATTTGAAATGTTCTCCATTTGTACAGGAATGATTAACTAGCAATAGCATTTCACAGTTCTGGGGTTGTAGTATTTTAGGTTCCTAAACAATACTAACAAGCAAATTAGGACTCTCTTATGCTGATAAATTTTAGTTTAAAAATAAAAAAAATTCAAAATTAACATATTTTCATAATTTTTGACTTACATCAGGATTTGTTATGTGAGATAAGCAAAGATTATGCCTTTGGCAGGGCCCTGGGACCTACTCATGGGGTTATGACATAGAAGACGCGTCGACTCGCAACGTCCAGTTCCGTAGAGAGAGACGGTTGCCCAATGGAACTGTGACAGGAAGCTACGGACTGGTGGAACCAGACGGAAACATCAAGATAGTCCACTACACAGCTGACACGCAGGGATACAGGTAAGATACATACAACTGCAGAAGGAGTGAGTAGGATAAAATACTTTTAGTTTGAAATTTGCTAAGGTTTAATATTTGGCCCTTTAAAAAAAACATTGTGTTAGTGTGTTCACTAGTGGCATTTTTTTGGCATGGAGGAATCATCTAGGGAAAGCAATCCAAATTCCTTAAATGTTTATGGATACGCTAGGAATCAAAGTCATCTCTCTTGCACTGAAGTTTGAGATGCTAAAGTACTAAGCTAGCTACACTCCTCCAAAGACCTTAAACCCCAAAGACAAGATCAGTCATCATTAGAAACAAAACAAAAGACTTACATCTGAAATTTACCTTCGATGTAACAGAGTTCAACATCAGTTGAAAACTTTATCTTATGTGTCAAGTTTAAAACTGATACTCTCAAGCATTGGGTTTACCAGTATTGGTGGTGTGGTCTAAATTGATCAAAGGCTGAGCAATCTAGGGTGTTTTCTCCCTAGTAGAGGGGAAAGCATTGCAGATTGAGCGTTTGAATATTGCAAGACAGGTCTGGTTTGTAGCTCATGATGAGTTTTAGTACTCATCAATCAAGTTGTGTACTCACCAGTCCGTAGCAGTATGTAGCTTAGTAGGAGAGTCCCATCTAAATAAACAGTTGGAAGGCTTGGGTGGAATTTCAGGAGACAAGTGATTATATTACTTTGTGAGTTGTGCTTCAAATTAAGAATTTGGTTACTTTTTTTACAGTGTTCGTCCAAACTTATTTTGTACATTCCAAACCACTGTATGATTTATTGTTCCCACTCTCTAAATCAGCTGATGTCACTGACGTTTCTATGCATCTATTGAAAAAAGCAAACATCTAAATTACTAAGAAGTAAATTTGTGTGTTATGATGGTTTTATTATGGTGGTAAAAAAATCTTGTGTGTATTACAAGCACAGTTAGACATTTCCGCACTTGATATGTACGGTATAACATCTACACTTACCGAGTGGTCATGTCGCATACTCTGCACTCTTAAAGCACAAAAATAGCTTTTGTATTAATAACATGAGGAAGAAACTTGATGAAAATATAGACAAAATTAAATTACGTAATAAATTATTGGGTTCAAGGTTTGTCAAATCAATTAAAGTAATGCAAAGGGTGAGACAAAAATAACAAAAGTATGAGTAAAAAAGATGATATAAAATACAATATTATAAAGCTCAAAATTTGTTTAAATTTTACATTGAATGTTTACAGATATTATTACTAATAATTACAATAAAATAGAGAGTGAAATGTTCAATTTAGTTCATTCCAAAATAGCAGAGTAAATTAAATTCAATAACGTAGCAACCCCTTACAATAAAACATACACTTAATATGTAATTAGAATCGTGAAAGTTTCACTTTTTTCAAGAGCATCCACTCTAGTATTAAGTAATTCTGGCAGAGTAATAAAGAATAATGGGACTTGATCGAGGAAAGTAAAACTCGGGATGATCTCAATCAATGGTTTGTGGCAAACCTGGTTGGCCTGAGGCAGGGTCGGTTAATTGTTGTAACTCTCTTAATTGGTAGTTGGAGACCTGACTGGTCAGGATAATGTCTTTTAATGAGCTGGTGGGTCTGGTAGAATGTGTTCTTGTCATCAGACCCACAAATAACACAGAATAATGGTCTCACTACTGATGAAGACAGAGAAAAATACCGGTTGGTCTTCACTGAAACAAATTGTTTTACAATCTGTTATCTAATGCGTAGCTTGTGCAAAGCAGAATTTCTACTATTTGAACAATGTCAAGTGATTTCTTATTTAAAGTGTTTGATTGTGACAGTATAATCTTATACAAATCTAACAGTAGACAAGATTAATCTTTTCATCAGACTTGAGAATTTAAAAAAATAAGAACTTAGACACTTATATAAAAACTGTTATATGTATCATTATCGATTAAGATATTATTAATTAACCTCAGCGCACTTTGTCAGTGAATCGATTCAACAGTGTTCATTTGAACTCAAAACTAGCTACAACTCATAACATGGGGTGGGGTGTATAAAAAGTCCTTTCTTTCGTCAATTTTATACTTTTTAGAGGCTAGCAGATTCCTTATTTTATTTTAAATTTGTTAAGAAAAATGTTTAAACTCCAACAATTCAGAAAGTTTCTATCTCATTCATATTTGGAAAATAAAAACTTGAAGACTATCACGATTGGTCAATAAGTAACAAATATTTCACAAGGTATTTATTCACGTTTATTTTAGTAATGACAATGGTGAATTGGTATTCAACGTGATGTGTTAATTAAGTCTAGCAAAAACAGACAACCCCATGTTTTAGGTTTTAAGCAGTTTATTAAGCTAGTAAATGTTTCCTCAGAAGCTTAGGTTATGTTTATGTTATGCAGCCGAGGATGTTTTGCCATAGCTCACCTGTCGAGTTGTTGTTTCAAAGGCATATTATGTGGAGGGGATGGAATTGATTCCCCTTAAAGAACCTAATTTTTTTGAACGGGGTTAAGTTCTGATCATAGTCAAGAGTAAAAAAGATTACCTAATATGCTATTCATTCCAGGGTTGTAATAGAAAACAGCCTTCGAGGTGATGAAAGCCACCCCCTACCTACCCCTCCAGGACCTAAGTGGGGGCTCAACCCCTCCCCTCCCATCTGGGACCTCCTATGGAATCCACCACCAAGAGACCATCGGCAACACTCCCCAACCTTGACCCATGCATTGCAGTCCCTGGAGACCCTAGGCTCTCCACTCCAAGAGGAGAGGACACCTCCGGTCTACCGGGACAGATCCCCCGACCCCATGGACACCCAGGAGGCAGATCAGTCCCCCAGCTATCCTGTGTACCTCCCTCCACCCAGGCAACAAGTGTAGGTTTAGTCTTTGTAAATTACTAATAAAATATTATTTATGCTGAGACTTATTCTTTTTTGTATCCTTTACTCCTGGGCACAAATCCAGAGCAGTGCCACAAAGAATGCAAATTGGTTTTATTTGCCATTATTGCTCTCTGCAAGGATGCACACTCATGTTTTTTTTTAAGTCTTTTTTGCACAGGGATAAAAATCCTGGCCCCAATTAAAAGTTCAATCCTGACCATCTCTAGTTTTAGGTAAAATACGATAATCATGGAAGGCCACATTCAAGTATGATTAATTTTTAATTAAAACATTTAATTTAAATGCTCAAGAACTGTTCAAGATTCAACTGAACTCAAAGGTGTATTATAATTTCACTATAGGAAAGATGAAAACATTCTTTTGGCTATTGACACTGCGTTCTCAGCACCATTTACATGAGGAAAGTATACACAGTGGTTGTTTGGTTAATCCTTGAACTCATGTGATGTGAATTATGTTCTGCCATTAGTCTGAATCCTATATGAAATTCTGTATTGGAAAAACATTCTTTAACTTACCTAAGTATTTTATTTTATTTGTACAATGAGCTATCTAGAATATCTTATTAAACATACCAACGATAATAATTATAAATTTAACCGTTTCAGTCTCAGGACTCTGATAAACCTCTTCCATCCTTCTCTCTTTAAGTATAGCTATTCTGTACACACTTGCTATAGATAGATTTGCCTTTCAGATTTAAGCCCTCTTTTGGTGGGATTTTAGTGTGTTGACCAAGACTGCTGAATAAACTCAAAGTTAAAAAAACTAGATTGAATGAGTCAAGTCTAATTAACAATAAAAATATTTGACCAGAGTTTAAAGCGGCAATAATAAGTGTTTAAATATTTAATTAGCTGCAACTAACAACAAAATAGGGATTAGGCACTAATAACACTCAAAAGTGAGGAAAGTGACAAAAAACAATAAAACAATGTATGATTTTATTTATAAATTATCTATACTTTATATAATCTATGTAGTTTACAAGATGCATACAATTAAAACATGATACATAATAGCTTTGTACAAGTCAATATACAGCACCCTCTTGCAGAAGAATAATCCTAACTTGATTTTCAATCCAAGACACACTTTGAGCGAAGAGCTGCTTAAAAATACTGAGCAGACCTACACTCGTTATATACAGGTATAATGTACAGTAACAACGGGAATATGTATAAATAAAACAATTTACAACTCGCGTTATCAAAACCTAACATACATATGTGTATGTACAGTAAAAAATATTGGCAACAAATAAAACGTAAGACTACTAAAGGAACTTGACACAGATCACCAGGATGTGTCCTTGTTATTATTTGATCAGGTTTTTGACTCGTTGTAGAAACTCGTAATACGAAGTGCCAGACTCGTTCTTATCTTCAATCAATTTCTCCAAGAACCTCATACGGTGATGGCTGTCGTCCCTATGGGTGAAAAACAATGTTAGTAAACACATTTTTAAAATAAAAAAGGAAAGAATGGATTTAAATTTCCCCCATGAATATAAATATTGGACTTAAATATACATAGTGTTGAATAAGTATATAGTAGTTTACGCAACGATTGCGTAAAGACACGAGTAGAAAATTTAAGGTACGAGCCTTGGCGAGTGCCTTAAAGACTTATATGAGTGTCGTTAACACTATTTACGCGAGTTGCGTACACTATTTTACCTACGATAGTGTTTTAATTACTAAAAATTACTACTCAATAACAAAATAACAAAATTTAAGATAAACAATCCCCTTCTTGATATTGCAATGAGATTTCCAAGTTATCCTCAATGTTAGCAGCATTTTTAAGATTATCAAGTTTTATTGGTTAAGACAAGACTGAGATTTTTTAATTATTAGCCACAAAGAATGTACACGTAAATTCTTTCAAGTAAACTATCTGAATACCAAGGTTTGAAACGTTCCCTTACAAAAAACCTAAATAATGCCAATGGACAGAAAAACACAAATAAAATAGCCAGCACAGTTCATAATCGGCCATTACCTGCAAACCTGCAATCAGCAAATGTTATATTAATGTAAACAATTACATAACACCAACCTTATGACTTGAAGTGGTATAAGATATGGTTTATCATTCTGTAGGTATGACACAAAACCTCTCACTGCTTCCGACGTAGGGTTGTCTAGCTCAGGGAGATAATCCTGAAACAAAACATACCCTTCAGAATGTTCAAAGTTTACAAACTCAATCATTTGGTTCAGTGTGAATGAATACTTATCAAAGAGAAAACTCGTTACGATGTTCATGTTAAATAGTATATCCTTTAGGAATGTTTGAGAAATTTGTGGGATTAAAAAAATCTCGTTTGAGCAAAAATCGACTTTGCTCCAAGAATTTTTTGAGACGAGATATTAGAAAAAAATAATAAAAAAAATATTTAAAAAATGTATAACAAAAATAAATAACCAAATAAATAAACAAAAATAAAAATTACGATTGTCACATTATTATTACACTAAAACCTAGTTTATCCGGTAATAATTTATCGGCAAACCTAAATAAAAACTATAATTAAAGCAAAATATACATAATGTTGAGAATTGATTAAATAATATTGCCTTAGCAAAGGAAACACAACAACAACGCACTCCTTTATTGCAGAAATTGCAGAGACTTTCTGAAGGCGTTTTTTAACTGTGTACATTTAAAAAATCGGTAAAATCGGTTTATCCAAATATTCGGTTTATCCATGACCCTGACCCATATGTACCAGATAAACAAGGTTTTAATATAGGCCTATATATTATGATATCATTATCATATATAGATAGAGATTAGAAGTAACACCTAGAAACTTTATTTCAAACTTGTCTTGGCATACAACCAATGATTTACTTTTAACACGTTCACTGCGGGCCACTCACCGGTGAGTGACCTAGTTTCTTTCTACCAATTCCATTCAATTTCTGTGCAGCAGCACACCGGGAAGAACAGGTATTTCTAAGTCTGCGTTTAGCTAGGAATTGGTGCTTATTGTAGTGTCCGTTGGTAGTAAATTTCCCCGTAAAATCTCCTTCTGGCAAGCTTAGAAATTAACTTGTTGTCCTGTCTTTCTCCCTCCAATTGGCAATACAATGGGACCGGCTAGTTCCAGACAGTGCTGCTATCTGTGATTGTTTCAGCAAACTACGTTGACTCTTGTCGTAACAAAAAACATCACCAACTTAATTTGCTATTCGTCAGACCAAAATATTTGAAAGCCAAACAGTTTTGCTCGACGCTGCGCCGCACCGAGGCTACGCCTGCCATTGATGAAGTGAAAGTGTTAATGTACAAAATATACTCATTAAAATTGTGAGAGAACCATTTTGAGTCTTATTAACAAAAGGATAACTATGCAACAATGCATTCCAGCCGATTGGCAATTAAGTAAAGAAAACAGGGATACCAACATAGCTTGTTTTGTCGTTAAAAAGTGACTTATGGAAGTTGTAATTTGGGCGTTTAAAAAACACCCTGTATTATTAGTCAGAAATTTGACGTGAATGAGCCTACCAGTTCCTGAATGGCAGAGAAGTGAGGAACGTTGAACACCGCCTGACACAACGCAGGGTCCAGGTTGTGTCCAATGTAGAGCATCAGCGTGGTTCCATCATCCATCAGGAACATGCCTTGGGAGTCTATCCTCTCTGCAGACAGCTGTAATCGAGGTGGCGCGTGAACCCTCCTCTCGAACACCTCCATCTCCGGCTGTGACACATTGTGAAAATGATAACCAACTAGTATGACAATCGAGGAGAAGGATTGTGACTTTTTAAATAAAGAGATAGCAGTAGTTGTCTTAGAAAAAGTCCAGATAGTCCATAGTAGTATTTTGTGTTCTGCTGGAGTTTGTCAAGTGTGGATGAAGATAAAGATTCTTCTCCTTGTCTACACTTAACAAATTTTCCCAGGAGACAAATGTGTGTTTTCTGTGTGTATAATGGCTTACAAGGACTTTTACCTAGGTAAGCTAACTGCTATCCCTTCATTAAAAAAAAATCACAATCATGTTTTCTTGATATTGTTTCTTGAATTGAGTATTAGTAAAACTTGCCATGCATTGTAAAGCATTGACCAGTTATATGTAATAAGTGAATAACCATGGTTTTGGTAAACTTTGGGAGACAAATTGTCATTTTTCTGCTTCCTTCTACAGAATCGCCCTTTGAAGGGCAAATGTAAAATTAATTGGTTAGTGAACTTGTAGTGTAGGCCTACTAACAATAAAACTTATTTTCTTGGTTGAATTTCTTGGTAATATTCTATTATGGATCTTGAAATTTTGAAATTTTATAAAATGTTTAAGACGATAATTTTTGTTATTGACAACCCTGATACCAGACCATGGTGTACAGAAATATGTGCACATTAGTCACGGAGATGTTGTGGCATACCTGAAGCTCAATGTTGTGTAACGGGTACAGGTCTGGGTAGATGGACTGTATCAGATAACACAGAGGTAAACTCTTCATCTGACACATGGCAAACACTCTGTCATCCAGCCTCGTGCTCTGACCTATCCGGAATGCAACCTGAAACACATTCACCATGTTTAAATAAGTGACAGTTATAGCTGTGATTCTTACTATTAGTAGGCAGTAAATCGAAAACATAGGTTTAAATCTTTCCAGGATTTTCAACACTCCATACTGGTTTGTCTCAAGTTAAGCAGCATCTTACTGAAGCATAAATATTTTCAAAATAGATTAGTAAGGCCTGAGGGTAAAACGGTACATAGGGACTTGGTGCTCTACTCTACACATAAATAACCTGCAGAGGTCAACACGTACGTGGATAGGAGTGAATAAAAAGATAAACCCAACTTCAAACAGCAAGACACATCGAAATAGTAAAACATAAAGTGAAATAATCATAATTAGGATCATATGGGTCTGTTTTAAAAGTCAGTAGTCAGTTTCAGTTAAACGGTTGCTGCAAATTTCGCCATGGCGCGAGCAACAATGATAATGTTTCTGTAATCCTGAAAGCCAGTGTTGACGTCAAACAGACTGCGAGATATTTAGGAATTTTCCGTGATCACGGAAGAGACTGGTAATGTAACAAAAAACTGTAGGAGGAATTTTTTCAGAGATAGCAGAAGACAATGATGACACAGACATACAATATTGCGGTATATATTTATTATTTGGATCATTATCAGGGAAGACGTTGATCATGTCTACAAGACCGCGGTATATGTTGCTGCAATCACGGGCGGGGAGTATGTCCTTGCCATTGCAAGAGATGCTCTCCATTTCGCCACGTTCCAGGGATACAATGATATCACAGAGGAAGATTTTGTCACAATCCCTGGAGACAACGATGCTGTCTTTGCCATGGGGGGGGGGATGAATAAGATTTTGCCATGGCTGTGTGAGACAATGATGGTGTGTACAGTAGACTCCCTCTTAGAGGGAGTTCGGATAAGAGGGAATCCACTTTACGTGAGAATGGACAGTTAGAAGATTTTCCACAATAGTTGGAGTCGATGATGCATTTTCAATAGCGGAAGATGTTCAAGATGCTGGTGCAAACACAGTACATATTCATGATTACCTTATAATAAATGCTTAAAGACTGTGGTTACTCACATGTTTGAGCAGCGCCAGAATGTAGAGAGGCAGCAGTCTGAGAGACGAGGGAGCCAACACACAGCCTGCAGAACTGCCAGACTGTGTCAGCTTGTAGGCGGAGAGAACATCAGCCACTACGTTGACAAACGCTTCCCTGGCATCTGACAGTGAGCTCTGTATGGCTCTGTCTACGGCTGTAACACAAGGTAAGTAAGCAACATGAGACAATATTATATTGAATATATTTTCCTCTAAAGCTAAAGGTTTTAAAATTTAAGTAGGTAGGTAAAATAAATTTTTTCTTCCATACCTCTATACTGACTGTCACTATGGTACAATCGACTAATCTGTATTGTACAACTTCTGCCATTTTCCATTGTTCAGTCACATTCAACTTACAACATAGGGGCATTTTAACATTGACAATTGAATCAATATCTTCACACACCTGTCTGCGGTTAAGACTTTTTTTTATTTGTGTCGGGTGGGGTCTAATGTAGCCTACAGGTTCTAGGCCAAAATTGGGTTGATTTGGAAGGTATTGATTTTAAAAATATAAGTAGTACATTAAAAATAATGGTGTACATAATCTCACACAATGGCAATGAAATCATGAACATATTTTGCAGTCACAGTAAAACCATGTATGTACATCTTCCAAGATTACAGTTAAATTGTGAAGGTCTTTCACCGGGCACGAAAAGATAAAAAAAATCTTTCTGTGGTAGGGCAAAATCAAGAACATCTAAATTAATCTAGAGGTTAAAATACCTTTAATCCGTCAAAGTGATCAGACATCACCGATGAGCGGCGACCGGTTTCAGCCCAGCTGTGGGGCCATCTTCAGGCGATGAAGGAACATAAATATCACTCCGAAGAGGTCGTCATACAGTCCATAAATACGTCACGAGAAACAACACATAGATACATTATTTACAAACACACGTGTGGCCACAAATTAACTGCGCGGCGGACGGTACGCGTACATTAAGTTGCTAGTCCAGACTGTCGTCACTGCCGTCTTGTCCATCTGCCATCCCCCTCCCCCTCCTCCAGTTCTTATCAGGTCCTTTGCGTGTTGTTACTATTCTTTCAATGCCGACTGCTGTCTCATATAAAAAATTACTTTCAAAAGAGGCTTTTTCGTTTAAAATGTGTTGGGGATTTTCCTTGTCAGCTTTGTAGATTTCGTACTCTTCTATTACATTTAAATGTCTGCCTTTGGTTTTGTGGATTTGTAGAATTTTTAAATTATTGTCTATTGAAGTGTATGAATGATTGTTTGTAATTAGATGCTCAGCAAATGCGGAGTTTTGTTTCTGTGTGGACTTCTTTGGCAGGTGTTCTTTGAAACGTGCTTTGAAAGATCGCGCAGTTTGACCTATATAAAAACTGGGGCAAGTGTCACAATTAATTTTGTAAACACCTGTTAGTTCATTTTTATCAGATGAGGATTTTCTTTTTTCTTTTAGGAGGGATGACAATTTGTTTGAGGTTCTAAAAGATAATTTGACATTGTTTTTCGACAGCTCATTTTTTAGAGTGTTGTTTAGACTAATGCCATATTCTGTTGAAGTAAAAACTATTTTTTCAGAATTCATGGTTGAAGTTTTATTTTTGTTTTTATGTTTATGTATTAGTTTATCGACCATATCACTTCTATAGCCGTTAGAGACTGCGATGAACTTGATGGTATTTATTTCTTCATTGTAGTCGTTATCGTTCATAGGGATAGATAGCAATCGGCTGACGAAACTGTGGTATGCTGCCATTTTATGACTTTGAGGATGATGTGAGTTGATGTGAATTGTCTGGGATGATGTGGTCGGTTTCCTGTATATTTTAAATTGAAATTTATTTGTTGATCTGGATATTGTGAGGTCCAAAAAGTTTAATGACTTGTTGTTTTCTTCTTCCAACGTGAATTTTAGTTTGTTATGTAAGCTGTTAAGGAATGAGCCAAGCATTTTTAGTTGTCTTTTTGTCCCATTAAACAGGACAATCGTGTCATCAACATAGCGGTAATAAAACACAATTTTGTTCTTGAGTCTGTTATTATCTGACCATAGATATTTATTCTCAACATGGTTTAGGAAAATCTCAGCAAGGATACTAGATAAGGGCGAACCCATGGCTAGTCCGTCATTTTGTGAAAATATGTCGTCTTCAAATTTAAAATAGTTCTGTTTGAGTACAGTTCTGGTGAGGTTAATTAGTTCGTCAATCATAGCAATGTTGAGAGAAGAGTTATTACATAGGTTTTCTTTCAATATTTTCAAAGTTTCATCAATCGGGATGATTGTGTGTAAATTGACCACATCAAAGGAAGCCAGCAAGTAGTTATCTTTCAACTGTATATTGGCAATTTTATTAACTAAGTCGGAGCTATTTTTTAGACTATTGTTATTGTGGAATTTATATTCTCTTCTTATAATCGTATCAAGTTTTTTGGCAATTTTGTAACCTGGGGATGGGATAAAGTTAACGAGCGGACGTATGGGCATATCATTTTTGTGAATTTTCGGTAATCCTCTTAAGATTGGGGGTTGAGGGTTTGTTACTTTAAGACATTTCATTTCTGTAGCTGATAATAGATTTTTACTGGAGCTTATTTGCTTGTTTATGTCCTTTGAGAATTTTATAGTAGGGTCGCTATTAAGTTTATTAATGCCATTTGCTTCAAAAAAGTCGTAAACTTTCTTTACATAATCGGACTTTGTGAGAATGACTATTGCACTGCCCTTATCAGCTTTACAGATAATGGCTTCGTTTTCTGTGAGCTTATCTCTAATACGTGCAGCTACACGTCTGAGTGAACTGTGTGTGGTAGTGAGCTTACGTTTGATGTTATCGTTGTTGGTTACATGTTTTGCTTTATTGGATACAACAACTCTGACTGACATTCTGGCATTATCGTCTTTCATGGTTCTGATGGCTGCTTCTGAATTTAAAAGCTCAGAAACTAAGGAATTCTTGGTGCCACGTGCGAAATTGAAATTGAGACCTTTATTTAATAAACTGATTTCCTCATCGTCAAATTCAATTTGAGTTTTATTGACTACTGAAGGGTGAAATTTATGGTTGCATTTTATAATATCCTTCTTTATCTGGACATTCACAAGATTGTTTAGTTTCTTTGTTTGTGTCCTCTTTTTCATTTGGATTTTCTTGTTGACTTGAAACTCAATCTGATCGATAATATTGGTTTGCTGACTAGGGTGTAATTTATTGAGTAATTCTAAGTGTGTTTTCAAAAGAAGTTTATTCAACATGTTCTTTTTTGCATACAAAGTTCTTATTTCAAATTTTATCCAATATTTTTCGGCCATTTCTTTAGCTCGTCTTGCAGCAAATGCTCTTTTTTTCGGGGGATGGCAGATGGACAAGACGGCAGTGACGACAGTCTGGACTAGCAACTTAATGTACGCGTACCGTCCGCCGCGCAGTTAATTTGTGGCCACACGTGTGTTTGTAAATAATGTATCTATGTGTTGTTTCTCGTGACGTATTTATGGACTGTATGACAACCTCTTCGGAGTGATATTTATGTTCCTTCATCGCCTGAAGATGGCCCCACAGCTGGGCTGAAACCGGTCGCCGCTCATCGGTGATGTCTGATCACTTTGACGGATTAAAGGTATTTTAACCTCTAGATTAATTTAAATTTGTGATCAGGAGGCAAAAAACAACAGAAATCAAGAACATCTTCCGCAATAACGGTAAAATCTTGAAAAAAATCTCATGGTCGTGGTAAAATGTTCAATCTTTGATCATCTGCATCTTTGCAGATGTTTTCTCTAACTGTGAAAAAATTCTAGGCTCAAATCAAAATAACCTGGCCCAATCATAGCCAACAAATGTTTTCCTGTCTGAATCGGTCCCTTGGACTGACTGTTCCTGCCTCAACTTGAAAATTCAGGGACTGTTGACATTTACTTCACACCAACAACCACATTAATCAACTTAACAGAATACTGACCCATTTTAGCCAGAAGCCCAGCTATACACTGTTGGTCCGCTCCATGCATGATGTCTGCCAGGTTTGACGCAACAGGAAGGCACAAAGTGTGGACTCGTATCCTCCTCTCACCTTCAATAATACACAATTGATAAGGCCCAAGGATGTATTTAACTTTACATACATAGGCAGTCCATGTTATATGCAGTATACATTAACATGCCAGGATAAGAACAAAAGTGAGGACTGTTGGAAAAAGGACTACTGTTGAACTTAACAAACCCCTCAATCTCAATCTTCCAACCGGAATTAAGCTTTAATTTTTAACCATGTACAAAACAACTATATTACATAATGATTAAAAATGAATAAAATGATCAGATTTGATTCTTTGATGGAGTATAATTTTTTTTTTCAAACAAAATACAAAATCAAAACAGTTAGTTCAAATTTTAAAAAGTCGATAACATATTTTACAGCAAGAACAACTTGATTGAAGATTCAACTTACCTTTGCTAGAGGTGTAGAGTAAAGCGGCCTGGAAGCACACGTTTTGAACCTCCGTGAGGTTCTCATCAATGGACACCTGCATGCCAAACCCAGCGTCTGGACTAGCGTTGGGTAAAGACAACAAGTCTGTCGACCGTACGAAGAAGTTACCATGGAATGTATGGATTGAAAGGCCTCTGTAAGAATAAGGGATGAATGTAAATAAATTGTAATAAGTGAAATGTTTGACAAGTTGAAACCTCTGTATGGAAAACGAGTTAAGAAAAAACACTTAAAACGCAATGGGAAACTGATAAATAATGTTCAACTAGTTAACCTCTGTGTAATTTTAACTTAGAATCTTACGATGTACTAATCTTACTAATCATAGTCACAAATCTAATCAGAATTTCAAATCTCAAATCTAATTCCCAAAGAAATAGGTTTCTAATCCACAATTTGTAATTAAAGACCAATTTTGAACAAATAATAGATTGAATCCACAGTAAAAACGGTTTTAACTATTTTTTAAATTACTTTTAATTCATTCTAAAACTTATAATTATTGACAAACAAACATATCATGTGTTCTGCTATTAGACTAAATTTCCAAAGATCTCATCAAAGGTTCCCACAAATGTCAAAGTTCAAATGTATTTGACATTCTGGGATTGTGGGAGAGCAACTATGGCAAACTAGTGTAAAGCAATTCCCTAGCGATTACAGCAACCTGATAATTTCTTTCAGTGCTGAAACTGAGGCTTACTTACTTACTGGTACCTATCCTTAGTCACATCCCAAACGATTTAATACCTTGAATTAACACATGGATTGATGTAGCGCAGGCCAATGGTAGTTTAAACTAAATTCTAAATATGATTCCTGAATCAAACCAATCAAAACTCAGATTTGAATCTTTGTGTTGGATCCAGTAGATACGGATTTGATACATCAATAATTACATGTCACTTTCACAGCTACAGTTATATATTTACCTGGTACACCTAAGCCTCATGACAGACTCGAACCCTATCTTCCTAGTGAGGTATCTCTGGAACATCCTCTCCAATGTGATTATCAGTAAAGGATTGTTTGAGCGGAACAGAGGAATATGGAACATGCAGCCTCCTGAGAATCTGGACACTCCAGCTGGAACATACACAGACTGTAAAGCACTAGCATATAAACTGGAGGATAAAATATCTCTAGAATGTTAGTAAGCTCTTGAAAGTGAAACACAAGAAAATTGGCGAGTACAAATTCACCCACATTACTTATTCCAAAACATAACACATACACTCAAATATCTGAAACTTGATGGTTCATCACATTCAGTAATAGGACATTGCACTACATCGGTAACTTACCAATGTCTTTTACTTGTGTTGTAACAAGAGTCTCGCATATTTTCAAGTGCGGCTTATAGTCTGGTTGGTACTTTGGACTTTATAGTCAAAACTTTGGTACTTGGTACATAGGATGCATTGCACGATGTCCAAGTGCCACAACTTCCAATAATATTGTTGTGCAACACTGCATTACATTGATTAGTGTGTAAAATGAGTACATTACTGGGCTTTAATTGATTTGTCAGCTTAACTTAAGTAGTAGTATGTCTTTATAGAATTTTAACAACAGGTAGACCTAAATTAAAATAGAACATTGGTTACTTTAAATTGATTAGTCCGTTGTTACATGGCTGCAAAGGTGAGTGACTAAACTTAATTGAACCGAATTTGTATCCAACACTTTTTGTAACGCCTTCCCTAGTTTGTTTGTAATTATAATAGTACAGCAGCATAAATTTGACTTTTCTTAGCTAATAGTCTAGTCGTAGCATTACTTTCAGTGATCAAACCCTCTCCCGGTGCTGTAGATGTCGCATTATCAAGTCAACAACATTCGGCTACTTACACAATGTAGCCAGGTCCAGATATTGGCTGTTGACCAGGAACAGATCCACAGCTATCTGTTGACCTGAGCAGTCCAGAGCCAGTTTCTTGTAGAAGTCAGTGGCAGGATTGAGGTGGGGAGGGTTGTCACCCGCTCTCTGGGCCGGGTCTTCCCTCGCTGTCAGTGCGCCGGGTCCAATGTTGGGGAGGCACGATTGGAATACCGTCACCCGTCCACCCGTCGGCGACTGTAATACGACGTTTGGTTTATATATTAATTTCTCAAACTTAAATGGGGAACAAGGCCCTTAAGATTTTGGGGCATGTTTTTGCTCATGGTGTTGGATACTTGGGATTTCAATTTGTAAGAAAACCAATGATACCCAAGTAATGAAGCTATTTAAAGACATTAGGAAAATATCCACATCTTTCCCTTCTGTGTCCTCATTCTATTGCAAAGCAAATACAGCAAAATCTCTTTCAACCGCACCTCGATAAATGAAACATGGGTTAAACTATATTCAATAAGTGTAGTGTACACTATGGCATAAGTAGCAGTTACGGCTTGGTTAATAGAATGTGATGGAGTAGACGACAACATATATCTCAAACAGATTAAGTCTTAAGTAATAAAAATAAAATTCAGAAAATATTTGTTGATTATCTATATATAAAGCCAAAAGTACCCATGAACTTTTGAGAAAACTACAAGTCACACCCCCATAAACCATACGGTACTTAAAATGTTCGTCATGACGGAAAACCTTGTGCAAAACCATCCATTATGTCATAAATTGCCCTTTAAGGTCGTAATTCCTTTCTAAAGGAAACTTTTCATATACCTAATGTTAAAAATACCTCAGCTGTACTTATTTATTTGTTATTCTTTCGATTTATTACCATATTAAAATCAGGTGTGATTATTTGTTTCTTTTACTGTATTTTGTTTATTTTAGCTTAACCTAACCAATCAATAGTTTTTTTAATACTTATGATGTCAAACGGGGTGAAGCCCGTGGGTAACAGCTAGTTTAAATAAATAGATTTTGGATATATGGTTAAAGATTAAATAATCAAAACACAAAAACTACTGTTGTAGATCACTTTCAACCAAAATGATCTGTAAATTATAACCATTCATTAGTGAAACAAATAGGTTATCAGGAACATCTTTACCTCTTATATCCAGGTTAATAAGGGTTTTACTAAATACGTATAACAACAACATAGGGAATCTCCTACCACAGTAGACCTACTGAAAACTGGATGAAAAAACAAATCAAGAGAGTTTACATACTTAATTAGCTACAATAACTGCATGTGGTAAAGTCAGCACAGCTATCTAATTGCTAATCTAATTGTTGTTGCTAATCTTGATGTTGTTGTTTAGTTGTGTATCTAATTTTTTATCTAATTGATGTAATTTTTAATACTTTCCAACCCAAAGTAGAACCAATACATAACTGTTTTCTTTGGGAGAGAAAATTCCAGTAAATGTTCGTAATGAGACTAAATAACAATTTCTGACCAGTATCACATAGAATACAGACCAACAGCTTGTAGGCAGCCTGTAAGGCAGCTCCTAGAGCAGAGTGTGTGTCGTAGGACTCGGCGTACTTCTGCGGCAACTCTAACAGCAGGTCTTTAATAAGATCCTGGCACTCGTGTAGGTTCACTAGCAGGTTCTCTGGCAGTGGCAGAAACATGTCTACAACAGACAACACGGAACCATCAAGGGAGAAGGAATGGTTACTCAAGCTGGAAGAAATCCGGGCAGTTGGTCCCCTGCAATTGGTTTTCTCCGGAAGAAAGTGGTAACTGCTCTTCTTTTAGAGGAAACCCCCTCTAAAAGAAGCAGAGAGCTTTTGGTTAGCAGAGCCAAATTTAAATTGTAATTAATGTGCATTCTTTTTGTGCTGTCAACTGCCAAAACGCTAATCTTAGTTGAGTTACTTGTCTCCACCATGTTTTATCATTAACTTTCGGACACCAAGAAATTTTGTCTATATGAACTCTGAAATGTAGCCAATTCTTTTTTAACGTATAAATTTAATTAGCCATTCATAGAGCGTCCTGTTGTATAGAATGGAGTCATTCCACGTCAAATCACCCAAAAAATTTAGGTTATGAAACCCACCATCTCAGAATTTGATAAAACTTTGTGAAAATGTTTATTCCTATGCCCTAAGTAAAAATACAAAAAATTTTGAAGATACTGCTGATACTTTTTTTTATATTAATTTTTTTCCGATACACCGTTTTTACCATTTCAGGCCTCGGAATCGACAACCAAATGTAGCCTGGGCGACCAAAAAATTTAATTATTCACAAACCATTTAAGATAACACTTTCAAATTTTTAAGGCATGTTTCCTATGTCTTGAACATTAATAAAACAATATATAGGCCACTCTAGAGTATAATAAAAAATTTATAAAATTATTATAAATTTTAATTTAATTTTGCAAATTTGACCGTCATGGATTGTGAAAAACGGCTATAACTTTTTTCTCCAACCACCTAGAACAATTATTTTTTTGCACAATTTTCCTTAAGCTATTACCTGTTTGAAAATATAAAGATATTAGTGGTTTTTTATGTACAGATATTGGAAAAAAAATAGTTTTAATAAAATATTAATTAATGCTAAAAATTTAGTAACATATATTTTGTATCTTATAAAAAAAATACTTACAAGAATTTGCAGTTATGAATGCTTAATTCACATAAGTCCTGTAGTTCTATGACAATAATAAATTAAATTTTTGAAGATTACTTGATATTCCCTTAAACAAATTTAAGTTAAAGCTAAAAGCTTTTGAGCGGTATACCTTGAAATGATTGTAACAAAATAGTTTAATGTTTTTTTTATTATTGGCTAATTTACAGCTTGAGTAAATTTTATGGCATGAGAGATTAGTCACATGACATAGTTATTTTTATTTGAAGTCCTTCCTGACTAGTAGCCATTTGTTCAGGTTTGATTCAGCCAGCTCTAAGTCCTTGGTTGTAAAGCTCGCTGAAGGCTTACTTTTCTGTTTGTACTTTTTATGGTACCTCCAAGACCATCTCAGGTTGACTTACCACAGCTTGTGGCATAAAAGGAGTGCTTAGCATTAATCCCAAAATCGTTTTCATGCTCATATATATTTTTTAAGTTTTTCCTGTTTTTATATTGCCCGTCACATCCATCCGTAGAATAGTGCACCTTTTTGACTGATGGAAAACTGTCTTTCAGCCATTTCATTAGTTTTATTTGGACAGCACTAACAAAAGAGACATCACGATCCAAGTCATCACTACCTTGATTTTACACAGCGATTTTAAACCTTTAGTTACAAACTTCGAACTTTAAAATTTGGTTATAACTTCGAAATTCTGCCAAATCAAAATATCTATGTATGTGTGTAATCTCTCATGCTATAAAATTTACTCAATTTGTAGTCCTTCCTGACTAGCATGCCATTTGTTCAGGCTTGATTCAGCCAGCTCTAAATCCTTGGTTGTAAAGTAATAAGTACTACCTGTAGAACTTGTTTGTGGAGCACCAACTGAACATACAATGTTACTAAAAGGGATCAAAACGGAATCTTTCTCTTTGTGGTCAGTAAAATGATTTATTAGCACCATATGGATGCATGAACACTAGTTCAGCGTCTTCATATTCATCTGAAGTATTCCTCACAAGAGCAAAGTACTAATGGCAAAATCCCAAGCTAAAAAATCTTAAAGAAAACCTTTCTCCTAATGATGCAGTAATACTGTTGGACTTGAGTGAGAACTATTGTTTTGTGATTCAAAATAAAATTAAGATTCAGAGCTATCACTGGTCAAGAGGCGGTTGTACACTTCATCCCGTATGTGTTTATTTCGCGAGTGAGGGGGAACTAAAGGTTTCAAACCACTGTTTTATTAGTGATTACTTGGATCGTGATGTCTCTTTTGTTAATGTCATCCAAATAAAACGAATGAAATGGCTGAAAGACAGTTTTCCATCCGTCACAAAGGTGCACTATTTTACAGATGGATGTGACGGGCAATATAAAAACAGGAAAAACTTAAAAAATATATATGAGCATGAAAACGATTTTGGGATTAATGCTTAGCACTCCTTTTATGCCACAAGCTGTGGTAAGTCAACCTGAGATGGTCTTAGAGGTACCATAAAAAGCACACACAGAAAAGTAAGCCTTCAACGAGCTTTACAACCAAGGACTTAGAGCTGGCTGAATCAAACCTGAACAAATAGCTACTAGTCAGGAAGGACTTCAAATCAAAATTACTATGTCATGTGACTAATCTCTCATGCCATAAAATTTACTCAAGCTGTAAATTAGCCAATAATAATAAAAAACATTAAACTATTTTGTTACAACCATTTCAAGGTATACGGCTCAAAAGCTTTTAGCTTTAAATTTGTTTAAGGAAATATCAAGTACCTAATCTTCAAAAATTTTATTTATTATTGTAATAGAACTACAGGACTTATGTGAATTAAGCTTTCATAACTGCAAATTCTTTTAAGTATCTTTTTTTAAAGATAAAAAATATATGTTACTAAATTTTTAGCGTCAATTAATATTTTAATAAAACTATTTTTTTCCAATATCTGTACATAGAAAACCACTAATATCTTTATATTTTCAAACAGGTAATAGCTTAAGGAAAATTCTGCAAAAAAAATAATTGTTCTAGCTGGTTGGAGAAAAAAGTTATAGCCGTTTTTCACAATCCATGACGGTCAAATTTGCAAAATTAAATTAAAATTTATAATAATTTTATAATTTTTTTATTATACTCTAGAGTGACCTATATACCGTTTTATTTATGTTCAAGACATAGGAAACATGCCTTAAAAATTTGAAGGTGTTATCTTAAATGGTTTGTGAATAATTAAATTTTTTGGTCGCTCAGGCTACATTTGGTTGTCGATTCCGAGGCCTGAAATGGTCAAAACGGCGTATCGCAAAAAAATTAATATAAAAAAAAGTATAAGCAGTATCTTTGAAATTTTTTGTATTTTTACTTAGGGCATAGGAATGAACATTTTCACAAAGTTTCATCAAATTCTGAGATGGTGGGTTTCATGACCCGGGTGATTTGACATGGAATGACTCAATGATATTTGTCCTTAAGTTTAGTTCCTGAGAAGGTTGTATGAATAAGTTGTCCTTAAACTTTGGTTTCATTTTAAAAATAGAGTATTTAATATAAACTAGTGTCCCTGTTGCTCGATTTCGAGCAATTGCTAAGTATTACAGGCGTTAATTTAAAACGAATTTCAACCAAGTCAACAAATATTTGTAGCAAACTGTTAAATTAGCAAACGTATTGACTGTTTACAATTAACATGCTCTTCTTCTCACTTTTGATTTCTAACAACAGCTGGAATTTCATAACAATTTTTGTTTCCAATGTTAATCTTATGGAGAAATACGAAACTTTAAAGGGCGCCAGGGCCTCACTCTCTAGTTATTTCCCTAAAAAGAAAGTTTCCTGCACAACTTCACGTTACGCTCTTTCCAATGACACCAAAAACATGTCAATCGGTTCAGTAGTTTCGGAGGAGTAATTGTCACAAAAATCCTGCTTGCGTATTAAATAAGTATAGATTAGTAATTTACATCAGTAGAAGCTGTCACTGATTTAATTAAACTACAGTAAATTCTTAACCATCTCAACACCTTGTTAAACGCATACATGGGGGATCTGAAACCTTAATACAAATTTGAATTGGTTGAAAAGTTAGCCAGGAAACAGCATTTTTGCTCAGGTGTAGGTACAGTAGAACCTTGATAACAAGACTCTCATGGGGATTATTAAATAACACTTTTTATCAAGGTTAACTCCTTATTGAGGTTTGCAATAACATGTGATTTGGGGTGGAATAAATTCAAGGGGATTTGAAAATGACACTTGTTATCAAGGGTGACTAGTTATCAAGGGTCTTTTTATCGAGGTTCCACTGTAGTTGGCTTGTACAAAAAAGTGTAATGGAGCAGAAAACAACACAAATCTAATACTGTGATAACGGTTACGGTCAGAAAACAACAGTTAACTATTTATTAAACAGAAATAGATTTTGTGTAGGCCTAACAGAGCTGTTAATTGTAATATGTTTAACTGTTATACATCTAATTGATTCCATGTGCCTTTAATTTTCAACGATTGAATGACCAGAATAAAGGTTATTCAAAATGGCCTTGCTTATTTCATTTTGGCTATCGGGGGGTGTAAATTCTTTTTTGTACTGAAACTGGATACATCTTTAAGTCAAAAATGGATTTTTAGCTCATATTCAAAGGTTTACTCACCGTCAATGTCGACAACGACCATCTCATGAGGCTGAGCTTGTCCGTCCATGAGGCAGTAGAAGTGGACGGCAGAGTCAAAGGTGATGAAGGCCACGGAGGTGCGAGCGTCGCCAGGGATGTTTTCTAGCTCGCTCCGCAGAGTAGCACACACAATTTTGAGGTAGCCACTCTCACACGCCAGTCGCGACACATCCAGCACGAACACGTAGATTGCCGGCTGCGGTGGTCGCACCTGTAGCATTCAATGTAATGGAGGACAGGCTAGGCAAGCTGTGAAGTGTGCTGGAGATCTTAATGTTAACACTTAGCTATCAAGTTCGATAAATAGGCCACCTGAGGTATGGAAAGGGAACAGTTGGCCGGGGGCAATTTTTCATCATTTTTTTGAAAGTATATTCTCTTAGGGTAACTGTAGTCTAAAAAGAGTAAAAGAGAATAATTGTTTTCGTTCCACTTAGTTTCTACAATTCACGTTTAATGTCTTACCATGTATTCAGAAGGAGCAATAAATTCTATCGTTGCAGATTTTATCTCTGGCCTCCTTGATGGATCTCCGTACGTCTTGGTCATTGGATCAAATTGAAACTCATCGGGTACTGGAAACAAACACCGGCATATAGGAATGTCAAGTGATTAATTACTTGATTGTACTGTTTAGTTTACTAGTAGTTAGATTCTACAAATTAACAAAAAAGACAAAGTAGAGACTAAAATTAAAGAACTTGAAAGACCTGACATACCATATCCAAAACTGTGACAAATTGCCAAATTGTTATTTTTCATAACTAATTGAAGCCTCAAATGTCCAGAGCCATAGACTGCAATCAATTTTCCTCCTAGGATACATCAACCGAAATGCTCTATCCAATGTTTAAAGTAGTTAACTTCTTAATCCATACTCCTTACTGTAGATTCCCTGTGGAAGACCTTGGAACCTGGTCCTTTTATGAATTCCAAAAAGTCCAAACCATGAGTCAAGTAAATAAAAAAGAGTGAATGGATTTAATAAACTACACATCATATGTGCCAGAGTAATGAAAACAACAGTATCGTACTAAGCAATAAAATATTGCAGGGTTAACACCTGTTCAGCACTAGATAATTGAAGTTGTGACAAGTGTTTTTCAACCTGCATCAATTTTCTTTGGAATCAAGTGTGTGGTTTAAACATATGTAGCCTTCTGAACCAAACAGATCCATTTAATAGGGAGTTTACAGTAACTACACATGGAGTTATTTGTACTAAATCTTAAATTCCATACCAGTATTCAACTTACATTCGTTAACTCTAAAGCACAAGTTGCACTTCCAACGTTTATTGTCGACAAAGTAGACAAACGGGTTGATGTATGTACGGCACATTCGACATCTTACTATGACTGTACACTGGATCACAGAGAGTTGCTGCAAACATAACAAACACAATTATCATGATTGCTTTATCAAAAAATACATAAAATAATACTGAACTGTAGCTTGCAGTTATGAGGTTAGTATTCATGTTTAGCATCGTAGAAAATGTTATCTATCCATGACCTACAAGTACTTTACTTCACAATATTTGGGCTATTTGAGGGGAAGTTTCCCCACCACTTTTTTTCTGTTTAATGTCGGTTTCTTAGTCAGCTATTATTTTAAAGGTGTGGGGTTAAATGGAAGGGATAGATTTCTTCCCCTAAAACTGCCCAAATGTTGTGAACACAGTATAACTACTAATAATACATAACTTGTAGGCTATAGTTAATGTGAATTGTTTCAATTTTTATTTTCATTATTATTATTGATTATGTAGCTTCCTAAAGCTCCAACAAAGTGATCCACTCATGCAAACAAAAACCTATGTTAATTTGTGATACATAAAAAAAAATAAAAATAAGTTTTAAAAAGCATAAGCGTTAGCAGTTTGTTGAAATCCAAATCAATAAAACCCTGCCACAATAGTATTACAATACGGTACTGTTTAGTGGAGAGTGAGTATTCATAGAAAAAAATATTTAGAACACAAAGCATGATAGCAAGAGGCAGTTAAATGGTCAAAGGTGTACAGGTATAGATTATACAGGTAAAATGGACTTCTGGATGGTGGATAAAGTTTTTGACAAGGTGATACAAATTAAGACACAATTTCAAATTGAAAGATTAAAACCTAACATAAGCTCACTTCAATCATAACTATTATCAATAAAATAAGGCAGTACCAAGCCATCTCATTGCAAAACTAAAATGGCTACATCACAACTAGCTGATGTGGCTATGAGTTTTTACTTATATAAGTTGGCTAAAGCACGAATTGGAATAATTTATTACTTAAGTCTTTATAACGCCCTGGTTGAGTGTTAGTAGTGTGATTTTTTTTCATTAAATAATTTACCTTAAAATATAAAACAGAAATATAAAAAATGGGACTAATTTATTGCAACATATGGGTTAAAATGAAATGCCCATATTTTATCACTAAGCTGAACCCACTACAATAATTAAAAACCCAGAAATTAGAAAAAAGTTCAAACCAAAAACAAATAGTTAAACCTAGCCCCAGAAAGAACAACCGAAAACTAATAAGCAATAGACAAAATAAAATAAAAACCTTGATATTTTTTGGCCGTTGTGGGGGTTCATAATAATTGGCTCCCTCCACCTCTGCAGGACATTCCTGATGGACAGATTTTAATGATATGGAAATATATGAAATAATTTAAAAAATCATTGGTAGGTTTTTAGAGTTTATATAATTTTTAAAAAACTTTGGATAACATTGTTAATAGTTTTACCCTATATCATTGTAATACTTCAATCTGATAGCTTAAAAATGCTTGTAAAAATGCAAAAATATTTCAAATCCATATGCTACAACAAAATTGATTCCCATATCTTGCATCCAAGGGATTTTCTTAAAGAAAAAATAGAATCAATTTCAATTATGAAAAACTGATTCTTACAGTTATTAAATTTATTTTGAATGCATAATTGCTTTTTAAAACTTTTTAGTCAGAATCACAGCTACTTGTGATCATCTCTTGTGTTTGCGACAACATCCAAGAACACATGTTCCATAAATAGCCTATCGTTGAACATTATGTTGATTTTTGCCATTGCATAAACATACAAAATTCAAAAATTTTACAAAGATTAGGACTATATTAAATCATTAAATCCATTTGATCAAAATTTTAATGTTAATCTTTTTGTAACCTTTGTCGGATTTGAGATTTGGCTTCGCCACATCACATCTTTCAAGACATTTTACTTAATTAATATAGGCCTACCAAAAATTGTAAGCACCTACACCTTTCACAAAAACATGTTTCAATTCAGACTTTCTTTGTAGGCCTAACATTTACGCCTGATTATTTTAAAACTTTGTTTTGTTTCTTAACTCTATAGGCTGTTTGTTTGATAAATTAATATTTTGTAATAAAGCTTTTTAACTGTGTTAAATATTATAATTTCTAGATTTTAACTAAACACTCCATTAATTTTATTAAACATCAAAAAAGAACAAATATTTTGTGGACATAAGTTTAAAAAAATTTCAACACAGTAGTAAGAAGAAGACAAACAAAATAAATACTATAGCCTAATCATTTAATACACTAATCTACTTCAAACAAATGCTTTCAACAAATATTTCGAACAAATCCAAGGAATTAATTTTAAAACATTCAACATTTGTTCATGATAAGCGCTTCAATTGTTTAGCCTATATTACTATCAGACAATTGGTGTAGTGTTTGTACAGTTGATAAGTGCTATGTGCTCAATGAGCAGTGTGAGACGTACGTAAATCAATGACGACAGTAACCACTCGTCACCACAAATGGGCTACTCTTGTTATATTAAATGTACGCTTAACAAAAACTACACACAAGTTTTTAAGTCAAGTAGCTTGAATTCTAATACGACTTTACTCAAAACAAGCAATTTTTACTCACATCACAAAGATTAAATAGATTTTTTACTTACGTTCAAATCCTTAAACGGGTGAATAAGGACTCCTAAAGGCAGTCTTGATTTATCTAACAACGATTTGGTTTCTGGTATTTTGGTAAGAGTACACCTGAAGATTCTAAAACAATAACACTCGGTTAGAAATAGGTGATTATGTAAGTATATAGGCCTAAGATTCCTAAGGGTAGACTAGTTTTAGAATCTAACCTAGAGACAAAACAGTGTATAAAAAATCAAATGTTTAGATTTAGAAAAAAATATGCACTAGTATCTGGCATTACAAAAATCAATAATTCTGTTGTAATAGTGTGATGTTTTACTACTCAATGTTTCATTGGTAAAAAAAAATTCAATTAAACATGTTAGTTAATTTTGTTAATTCCTTGAAAATGTAATCCAGGACCTTTTATGAAAAGTCCATGTATCAATAGCGGACGGGTCTAGTTTAAAAGATTAAAACGCCTCTGAATTTACTCAGGATTGAGTTTGTTAGGCAAGCACTATAACCACTAGGCTGTCCCGCTATATCCCAACCACATTCCTAAAATATTGATTAATTAGGTTAAAAACTAAAAAACTAAAACTATTATTAGTTGCTATGCTAATATATGTGTTTACTTACTCTGGGCTACAGTTCGCTGCCTCGTACAGTTCGTGCTGCAATCGTACAGCGGGTGGATCTATTTTCTCTTTGGGCAGCAGATCTCGGCACTTCAGTAGGTCCACGGTGTCCATACCCTGTGAGTAGAGAAAATCATAAGTTTTTAATTAAGTTTGAATGTGTTTATTGGTAAGCATCTTATACATAAGTAGGATGGGTTTTGTCCTTGGTAATGTTCACAAAAAATTGAGATTTTAGGACTGATATTCCTTAAAAGAACTAAAAGCTTTAGTGTTCTCTTTCACCAAATGTAAACTCTACACAGTGTATTGAATTTTCAAGGCGTGAAACTGCTTTATTCTAGTTTTATGTTGTGAAATGAACATGAATAAAAATGTTAAATCTACAGAATTTATTAAATACTAGATATTGAGAAACATTTTCATTTTGATAAATTTTACTAAACCAAAACATGCCTAAAGGCTCACTAAGGATTTTCAATAGGCTAAATGTTTTCCATTGACATGTTTTCAGAAAGAACCATATTTCTGCTGAATAGAAAAACTCATAATTCACAATATTTTATATATTTACATTAATTGGAACTTGGAACCTGGAACCTCAACCTTATTGTTTGCTTCTAATAAACAGTTAAAAAATTTGAGAGTGAACTTACCCAAAGCTTGTTGAAGCCCTGCTGTACAGACATAGTGTTCAACTGAGATGTCAGCCCATCTACAGGGCCAGGCTGTTGATAGGTGCCAGGCTAAAGCATCAATTTTATTATCACTAAGCGTTATCAATTTTAAACCAGTAAGTTACAATGAATGGATTTACTTAAAGCCAATATAAAATCAATTTGGAAAAAATCAATGATGTTTTGGTTGAATAAACCATGGTCATGCCTAAGGATGTGATGACCACATGACGTATTTCAGATGAAAAGGTCAAATATATTTGTTATTTACTCAATTTTTAAATACAGGCTTAGGACTATTTAAAGAGCAACTTGATTTTTATTTTCAAGTTTGATGTATGTTTATAAATGCGGAGTAACATGATTTTATATGGACAACCTACGATTTGTTTGCGCACACAAATTATAAAGCAAACTAATAAAGTGAATTCTTTTGCAAGTCGTCCTAAATATGTTAAATATTTGGTTGTAGGCCTATTAAGATAATTGCATACAACAATACAAAGACAACAACTCTTTAAGAAGTTATGGAATCCACCCTTTTAATTCTCTAAAAATTGCTTAAAGGAAAAATGTATCCATTGACTGAAGATTAATAGTGATAATAAAACTCACCATTTGTGGATACCGCTTATTGTACTGGTTTCCAATCTGCTGAGGTTGTTGAGGATACCCGCTGGCAGCATATTGTGGTTGGGTAGTGGAGTTGACGTTATTGTATTGGTACTGTGGAGGGTTAGGAGGTTGCTGGCCGAACTGATTAGGTGGTTGAGAAAATTGGTTAGGCAATTGGGAAAATTGATTCGTGGGTTGAGGGTACTGATTAGGTGGTTGGGAAAATTGATTGGGTTGCTGGGAAATTGGCTGAGGTTGTTGGGAAATTGGATTAGGTGGTTGGGGATATTTATTTGGTGGTTGGGGATATTTATTTGGTGGTTGGGGATATTTATTAGGTGGTTGAGAAAACTGATTGGGTTGCTGGGAAATTTGGTTAGGTTGTTGAGGAATTATATTAGGTGGTTGGGGATATTTATTAGATGGTTGGGTAGATTGACTGGGTTGTTGGGAAATTGGGTTAGGTGGTTGGGATTGTTTATTCTGTTGAGGAATGTTAGGTTGAGAAAATTGGCTATTTTGTTGAGGAATTTGGCTAGAAGGTTGAGAAACTTGACTGGGAGGTTGGGGAAGCTTACTAGATGGCTGAGAAAGTTGATTCAGAGTTTGAGGGATTTGATTTAGTTGGGCGGGGTGACTAGAAGGTTGAGCCGTTTGAATTTGTGGTTTGGGATGTTGATTAGACTGTTGAGTGAACTGATTCGGGCCCGATGGCTGACTAAACTGATTTACATTGGGATTTGGAGTTTGGTTAGAAAACGGTGATGGTTGAGGAGAGGGCTGTCTTGTGATTTGTTGGAACTGGTTTGGCGGAGGTTGGAAAGGGCTTTGGGGAAGTTTTTGAAACTGACTTGGCAATGGAGCCTGACTACTGGGATTGGAAGGGGGCTGAAGAGGTGCAGCAGCCTGTGGTTGGCCACCAGGATAGCTGGGGTGTGGAGGTGGCCTGGGTGAAGGTATCTGACTGGACATGTTGTTGGGTTGGTGAGAGGAAGGGAACCTAGCGACAGACTGACTAGAGGGGGGTTGAGGGGAGGAGAATGGCCTTGAGGTAGGGTTAGGAAGGTTTCCCGGTGTTTGCATTACAGGTTGCATTCCCTGGTCTCCAGATCCCTGAAACATCATTTCATTTTAATCAAGATGGAAAAAAATGTTGTATTATAAACAATTAGAAGTCAAGACTTATAAATATTTTCTTAAATTGGTTGTATACATACAGGACAGTAAAAGCCTCAAATGGATCTTTGTTCAGTGTTTTTTTTTTGTTTTTTTTAAGGGGGAATCATAGTCTACAAGAGATGACTATGTCCTTGAACTTGAGAAAAACTGGCTTTTTCATATGCTTTGTAGCAAAAACAATTAAGTATGTACGTACATAATGATCAATGGCATAGGTTAAGTAAGTAGTTATGCAAGCAGAAAAATTTGAGTTCTAGACAAAAAGAATTAATTTTTAATAGAGAGATTACTTAATCTCTATATTAACATTTTCCTTTAGTAGATATGTGTTGTCATTATGAATCAGACAAAGAGTATTTTAGAATTGATCATGTCTGATATAATGTAGTGTGTTTTATTTATTTCACAACCATTTAAATTAACTCATAAAAGACTTATTTGTGAACTGATGCATGTCCAATGATAAAGCGGGGGAAATTTAAAATACCCCCCCCTGCAGCAAACCTGCCGACTAAGCGAATTTCCATTTGCCTGGATTGATTTTTCAATTAATCTATTAAATTAACATTTATGCCTTCCTAGGTTAGCTCCTACAGGGAAACTAATGAAGTGTATTTTTTATTAAAATATCAATAGCTTAGTATGAAATGAATAAATCCGCCAAGTTTGATCAAAATATATCCATAAACAAGCCAACTACACCATTTTACAATATTGTCCATAAGAATAACATGGGAATTTTAAATTAATAATTGGTTGATATTTCTACGTTTCCCAACCAATCACCGTACAAAAACACTTTGATATAGGCCTACTAAATTATTTGTTTTTTTAAGCTCTTTACAAAGGTCTGGTGAAAAATTGATAAATTTTGTGTTTTAAGGGTAAAAAATTAGAAAAACCCATTTTTACTCCATAAAACCCCCCGTTACCATGGTCCGCTCATGCTGGTTCGCGAACTCATTTAAGTTTATCCCGCCGTACACCTTAAACCAAATGTTATAAAAATTGGAAAAAAATTACTCAAGTTATCGTATGTACGGACACACACATGTAGGCCTATATATAAATATATACATTTGAATGAATGGTGTTTTTGGCCTCTGTGGACATCAAAATGAAAAAGTAAATCGGTCCCAGGCCTAGGTATTACCATGAGACCTACGGTAATAGCTACTTCCAGGGAAATTGGCTAAAATGTATCAAAACAAATCTAAGATCAAGATTTAACAATAAGTGAGAGGTATACTTGTAGAAGTCATTTGCATTATTTTAGGTTCAAGGTTAGGCTGGTAGGCTAATATTAAAGCTATAAATATCTAAAAATGTTCTAAATATTGATTTCTTCAGTGAAAGGGGAATCATATTGATAAGAAAGTCCAAATCAACACAAAACTATCTACTATCACAAAACTAGTAGTGTTTGTGTTGAACCAGCTGAGGAAACTAGTCAAGCAAGTCAGTCATTAACTGATAAAGATCTTGTGAGCTGGAGAGACAAGGAAAACTTCACCAACTAGTGATAAGATATGCATGTAATGAGTTTCCTGGTTCCAACTAAATCAGCCGTTCCAGACAGGAACTGCTTGGTATTCAAAAAACCTTGGTTTCTTCGTTTTTTATTTTTTTTTTCTTCTTAAGGTTCTGAATTCAGATTTAGTTTTTTTAACTGTGTAGGCTACCTATTTTTAACTGATGTTTGTCAGTAAAACAGCTTTTACAGATTGAGATAGTTAAGCTAAGTAAACTAAAAGCCTTTTTCTGTGGCTGAAGTCTGGTGCGAAGTGTGGGAACCGTTTGTGGGATTTAGATTTACGTAAACAAAAAGAATTTTAAATTTTAAAAAAATTTACATGAGCCTTATGGGTTGCCATGTTGGTGACGAAATAACAACAAAATACAGGGAGCGGCAGAAATATCTGACGGTTTTCAAGCGAGTACAGTCCGGCAGCCGAGTGGAGGGGGGTGGTGGGGAGCGGCTCATTCTCAAGGCCAAGTGTGACAATTTTAGTCGCCATGGAGCAGTGGACCGGTATACATCGCGCGTTTGCCGTTGAAGCGTTTTTTAAAAATGGCGATTCTGTTGTTGGTACGCAACGTAAGTTTCGGAGGCATTTTAATGTGGCTCGTGGGGAACCTATCCCATCCCGACCTACACCATCAAATTGTGGGTGGATACCTTTAGATCACAGGATCAACTGCAAAACGTAGGCCTACGGGCCGTCCAAGGCCAGTGAGGATGCGTGAGAACGTGGAGCGAGTGCGACAAGCTGTGCTAATGACCCCGCATCGCCCGGAGCGTAGACAAGCTGCTGCTCTTGGCATGTCTGATCGCTATATTCGACGAATATTGCACTCAGGCCTTCACTTTCACCCGACAGCGATCAGACATGCCAAAAGCAGCAGCTTGTCTACGCTCCGGGCGATGCGGGCTCGTTAGCACAGCTTGTCGCACTCGCTCCACGTTCTCAGGCGTCCTCACTGGCCTTGGACGGCCTGTAGGCCTACGTTTTGCAGTTGATCCTGTGATCTAAAGGTATCCACCCACAATTTGATGGTGTTTCGGGATGGGATAGGTTCCCCACGAGCCACATTAAAATGCCTCCGAAACTTACGTTGCGTACCAACAACAGAATCGCCATTTTTTAAAAACGCCTCAACGGCAAACGCGCGATGTATACTGATCCACTGCTCCATGGCGACTAAAATTGTCACACTTGGCCTTGAGAATGAGCCGCTCCCCACCACCCCCCTCCACTCGGCTGCCGGACTGTACTCGCTTGAAAACCGTCAGATATTTCTGCCGCTCCCTGTATAAACAGAAAACAAAAACAATTTGAAGAAGTTTTAATCACATGTTTTATTTACAGCGTGGGGTGAAAATAAGAGTTTGCACAGTATGTACATACTTTTGGTCGAGTTTTTGACACCGGGGCGAGCTCTAGTAATAATTCTAACTTATTTTAAAATTCAAAACAAATTAAACATTTCCCAATAATATTCCCCAAATATTCAGCTAACTAGTAAAGCTGAAGGTATTCAACCCAGAGGTATTCAGGGCCTAATGTATTCAGGTTGGTGTCTTAAAATCTTTTTTTTAGGCCTATAATAAGAGTTTAAGTCAATCTCTATGGAGTTGATGACTAATAAACAGATCATAACGGTAGGCTATGTTTAAACCTTGTAAAAAAAATAAATAAAAGATACAAAATGTAACTTATTAACTTGTTGGTTGTAATCTGCAACCCTTCAGTGATCGGTGAAGAAAAAACAATGGCGAATCTATACTGTCTGCCCGTAAGATGAGGAGCCTTTTCATGCTAACCATCTTAATTGTCAATAACTTAAATATAGCATACATTTAACTTGCATGATATGTTTTTTATTTAGATTGTTTGCCATCCTAATCTGCAGTGTGGCTAATTCAAAAGTGGATCGGGGTTCTACTGTAAAGAAATGTGATTGTACTGAATTAAGGATATCAAAAGGTCAGTTTTTAAGTATTACCGCTACCTACTTGGGTGGAAGGCTTGTCAGATGTATTGTGATCTAAGTCTTAACTGATATTTAAATCTAATAAAATATTCTATATCCATACTTGCATCAGCTTTTACATTCTTGTTGTAATTTTGGAGGATAAAAGATTCAATTCACTTTTTGAAACTAATTTATTAAAATTTTCAAATTAAAATCTGACTATAGAATTACCTTAACACATACAGGACCTACCCTGTTATGAGTGTAATGGATAGGTTAACTCAGAAATATAAAAATAAGATTGACCCACCTGACTACCGAGCGGAGGAGGCGTAGGACTGGAGAAGGGTGTGCTGTGTACAACCTGCCCAGCCTTGTCCTTGGGCCAGTGGTTAGGTTGAGGTGCAATCACATGGTTGTAAGGCTCCGTGAAAGGCTTACGTGCATGCGTGGCTGGCGAGGGGTCCCTGGACGACTGAGAGGACAAACTAGCTGAAAACAGAACAAATCATTTAATAACTCAGAGCTTATAAGTAGTCAATTATTAATTTATTTGATTCGGCTATACCTAAATGATAAAAACAGTTATAGTTAGCCTATACTGTGGGATACTTTATTTAGCAAATATTTAGTTAATCTGTTGATCAAACTGCAACCAACTCTCGTGTGAGCGCTATAGTACGTGATCCGTGATCCATTAATGGTGAGGAGGGAAAGGAGAGCAGAATGGGACGACCAACATAATTTGAACTAGACACGACTTAACCATTGAATGTTTCCTTTGTACCTTACTTCTCTGTTCAGTACCACAACAAACTATGTTAAGGTTTGTAAGTTATTGACTAAATTTCCCTAGGCCTATTTCAAAGGATAATCCCCTAATATCAAGAAAAGTTCCCATTCTTCTTGGCAAATTACACATTTCCCCCGGCTTTTTGGGTACCCATGAGTTACCCTCCCACCCGTCTAACCACCCTTTACTCCCAATGATAATCACATTTAAGGTTTCCCCACCCAAAACTCTGAATTCCCATCAGGCCCCCTAATAAGTTGGATTTTATGTTTGTAAACAGGCTTATATATTTTGCCTATTTAATTATTATCATCTTCATAACAGTCTCGGTGACAAAAAAAAAGGTGCACTAGTAGCCTATTGATGCCTTAGAATAACTTTGTTTAATCCGTTTTTCAAACATTAAGGTGATTCTGGGCCTGTAAATAAGTAGGCCTAGTACCTTACCAAAAAGAAACGTAAAAGGTAAAGACAGCTCAAGAACATATTTTTCGTCAAAACAAGTTAACTCAAGGCTACTGGGAACATTTGGAGAATAATAGATATTTTTATAAATCTGACCTGGGTAACTGCTAGATGGTGTTCCATTGGCTGAATTGCTTGAATTGGTCAACTGTTGTCCATTCATGTTCTTCTGTAAAACAAAATCTATATTTAGTAACTTACATATAACTATTAATAACGGAGACATACCGGTAAGTTACCTTGAATTAAATAATAGGTCACCTAGCCTAAATAAAAAATAGGCCTAAGTTAGGTATGGCCTACATACAGTACCATAAGATAAATTGGAGCAGCAAGCCATTTTAACCTAGGTACTAGGATACAGTACCGGTATAGGCTATATTTTTTTAATAGAGAATTTTATAATACCTGTAATAGCCTATCACAAAATCCCATTAAGTTACCGTACTGTAATATTTTAAACTTTCAAATTAAGTTAGGTAGGCCTATTGGAAATCTACTTAGCCTAACTTAAGTTAAGTTAATGTTTCATGCCAGTATTTCATGATAGCCTACTATAAATCATATTGCCTATTGGTGTTACCTACATTTAATAACAGATAACCATACCGATCAATTATTTGTAGACAGCAATTATCTGAAAATAAGTACGACATATCATGCTCATTTACAGTCTAGACCGCCATATGATTGTGTTTAGATTTTAATGCCAAATGTTTGAGTTAGGGTATTCTCACAATATGTGTAGGCCTAGGTAAATTTATAGTAGGTAGGCTAAATGTTAAGTCTAGCCTAACTTACTTAAGTGAATGTTTTAAAATGAGTTTAAAATGCATTCCTTGTAAACTCTTATTTCTGCCCCCTTCACTCTAATTTTCAAGTAAGTTACACAGCATATTCCCTTACTCGACAGATAGTCCCTAAAATCGAGGGTTTTCAGATATATAGCTCAAATAACTTAAGTAACTTAAGTAAGGTTTCAAAGGCAAAATAAAGTTTCTATTTTTTAGTTAAAATTAAAATCTAAGACCCTCTTCCTACAACAATGTTCACATAGGCTATGATCTTATGGACCCAAAATTATGATGCATCATAAATAGCTACGTTAAGTTAGACCTTACGGTAGGCCTACTTACTTAATAGATAATAAGTTAGCCACATTAACTTAATTAGGTCTACTAGGCTATCTAATGAAGAGTTAGACATCCTAAAACTTGTCTAAAAATATTGTAAAATATTGCTCTTAGGGCCGGCCAAGCATAGCCTATGTTCAGGCTTAAATTACGCACGATTTTCTTATAGGTTTAAAATTGCATCAACTTAAATTAGGTAAACTTAGCCTAAGTTAATTCAGTCTAGTAAGTTAATGACTGTTAAACACAAACATAGAGACCAGAATGTTTGTGCAACTTAGCTTACTTGAGTCAATTTATGACTAAATTAAATTTGAACATTAAATATCCAAGTCAACTTTAAGTTACATGGACTAACTAATAAGGAAATTATCAACTTAATGAGAAATAATTGCTTTGTATGAAATGAGGATTTAAACAAGTAATTTTTTCTAACGGAGCAGCTCATAAGAAATGATAATTTGACGTTGAAAATTTGCTTTGATTAAGCCCATTCGTTGAAAGTAACTTAAGGAAAAATGAATCAGGTTGAATTATGTCATGGTCTAGTTAGTTGGCCTGCCCTAGACCTAATTTTACAGTGCATATGAGATAAGCCGAGTAAATTGGACAATAATAAATTTTTTACATCCGATGTCGAGATTCACGTACGATATGGAAGCTTATGCCTGTCATAAAATACAAATTATTAATTGGCGAAAATGTGTATTAATTAATACGGCATTTATCGGTCTAATAAGGGCTAAATGACAGTTATGGATAGCAGACGATTTTTAACTTACAATACAACCACTCGAACTAAATTATTCCTAGTAAATATTACTAAACTGTGTTACTTACAATTGTTAGTTTTCTGTAGGTTTATAATTAATTCCAACTCAAGGCTAGGAAGTTCCACTAAATTCGAAACATCATCACGATCACGTAGCACTGAGAAGGCCTGACATGGGCCTGCTGAAGTTGTCTACTAACGGAAGACTTTCGACGTGGCCGTGTTATTGATATTCAGGAAGCTGTGGAAGTTGTATACTATTCAAAATGTATAATTTGACGACAGTTCATGCATTATTTACTTGCTGTTTATAAGTAAATGATTGAGAATCTTTTGGTGAATTCATTCTTAATAACCGTAGTGCACCTTTCAAACAACATGGATTGTTTCGCTTAGAAATATAACTAACCTAGATACAACACTGATATGTTCTGATCTAAATTACACTAAAATCTGTTTAATGTTTATGGTTACAGCCTAGAACATCAATTATCAATTTTTTTTAACATTGTTGATGATAGCGGTGTCTCTCACTGAGCTAAAATTATAACAGCTCAGTGGTGTCTCTGTGGTGTCTGCACTGCAGTTTGTATAAATAAGTGTATTTATTCAGTTTAAGAATGGGGTTGTGTGCATATGCAGCAGGCCTCAGCATTTTTATGATAATTGCGTGAAACTATTCGTTCAAATTTAGATATATATACTAGCTGTTAGCTGTTAGCACGGTCTCCTTTCTTTAACTCACGACTCCCTTTAAGTCCAGGCCGCGGCTTGGTAAAATTGGCAACGTTGCAAGTGGTTTTGTCTAGCTAGCGCTAGACGTCCCATTGAGATAACATAGCAGACAGATGACACCAGCTCATTAATTAGCGTATTATTCATTTAAATTTAAATTTATGAACATAAATGTATTAAAAGATTGAAAATAAAATATATGGAATTGAAAACCAAAACAATGTTTAAATTGAAAATCTATTTTTGTACATTAAATTGGAGTAAATATTTTCATAGCCCAGTAAAGAATAAGAATATTTATTTTCTCCCAGTAATACAAGTATTACAATAATCAAAATTACAACGCACAACACAATAAAAAGAAATTGATATAATATTCTATTAAAACTAAATGTCCCACGTGTCAGACTGACTAAGAAGGAAAAAAAACACTGGCTTATTCACAACAGTAAACAAGCTTTTGTATTCTTAAAAAATACACAAATTACCATTAGCTGGTTCCAAACAAAACAGCTATTTCAACCCTACTTGCCATGTTGCCACTTCGAAGGCCACAGCCTGGAGTTAAAGGTGGCCGCGTTTAACTACAGGCCGCGGCCTGGTAGAATTGGCAACGTCGCAAGTAGGGTTCAGACGTCCCATAAGTTAACATGGCAGACAGGTGACATCAGCTCATTAATTCGCACTTTATTGATTTAAATTTAAATGTATGAACATACATTTATTAAAATAATGAAAATAAAACATACAGAATTGAAAAACCAAAACAATATGAATTGAAAATCTATACATTATCTGTACATGTTACGGTCTTCTCGCGACAAGCGTTCAAGGGTTGCCGGCGAACAGAGGTGCGGGCTGCTCGTCAGTGAGTCAAAGTGGAGTCAATATTTTCATAGTCCAGTAACCAAGCTTTCGTAAATACACAAATACCATTAGCTTCTTCCAAACAAAACAGCTGTTAAAACCCTACTTGCGACGTTGCCACTTCGAAGGCCGCGGCCTGTGGGAGTTAAAGGCTTAACGCTTCACCCCGTTTGACTTCATAAGTATTATTGTATTAAAGATTAAAGTTAAGTTGAAATAGACAAAACAGAATGCATCAGTAATACAGACAAATAAACACACCGGATTTCAATAAGGTAGTAGAAAGAATAACAAACAAATAGGCTATAAGTACCGTATAGCTGGGGTATTTTTAACAGGTATATGAAAACTTCCCTTTAGAAAGGAATTATGAACTTGAAGTGCAATTTATGAAATAATGGATAGTTTTGTGCAAGGTTTCTCCTCATGACGAACATTTTAAGTACGGTATGATTTATGGGGGACTTGTAGTTTTCTCAAAAGTTCATTTGGTACTTTGGGATTTATATATGGATATCTATATATACATATGTATACTATTAGTTACCCGGCGCGCGTTGCTACGTTAACAACTATTATTTTAAAAGTTAATTTGTTCTTTCCAATCTATATCTTTATATATGTATTAGGTGTATGAATATAAGTTTTTACTTTATATGTTTACATATTTAATACAGTAGGGGAGAATTTAAAGGTTGCTGAGTGCACAGGTGTGCTGCGATTGGGGTTTAATATATTTGGACTAATCTAAAAGTAAAATAGTTTTCTGTTCTGCATTATGTGGAAATATTGTGGCACTATTCCAAATCATGACTAATAGAATGTTGTGATTATTCAAACCAACAGTTGGTGAATGTAAACATCTGCTTTTAAATTATATTTATTTGTTAACATTTGTAGTTCCAAAAGTCTGACATTGGACCCCTCAAAACCCTCTGTGGCGGAGCCCTTTTGACGGATCTGCGATCTTCTCCAAACTTCACACAAACCATCCTTGAATAATGCTTAATAATGCCTGAAAGTTGTATTACAATTTGTCGAGCCGTTTCGGAGTCCATAAGGTACATATAGTTCCTCTTTTATATCTCTAATATATAAAATTCTCGTGTCACAGTGTTTGTCTGCAAACTCCTCCGGAACGACTTCACCGATCGTTATGAAATTTGGTGTGTAAATTCTGTAGGTATGCGAATCGGACGTAAACTATTTCCCGTTTCGAAATTCTTAAAAGGGCTCCGCCCCAGTGGCTATGGAGTTTCCCATGTTAACCTTATGAGAAATGGAATTAATGAATCTTAACAGCTGTTTCAATTAAACAAGTTGGTTCTGTTCTATGATGTTCAATAGCATTAAAGTTACAAGGATTACCAACAGGGTGCAGCACTATTATTTCTTTTACATTTATGACAACAGCTAATTTGCAACCAAAAGGTGAGTGAGCGTAGCGAACGAACTTCAACCTGGAGGCGAGTTAGCGTAGCGAACGAGCTAACCTGAAGGCAAGTGAGCGCAGCGAACGAGCTCCAACCTAAAGGTGAGTGAGCGTAGCGAACGAGCTCCAACCCAAAGGTGAGTGAGCGTAGCGAACGAACTTCAACCAGGACGTGATTGAGCGATGCGAACGAGATCATCTTGAAAATTAAACGTAACGGTACTTTCTTTCCATCGGTCTGTCTTAGGGGAAACCTATAACTTAGGCGATACGAAGTTCGCCGGGTCAGCTAGTACAGTAATATATATAGATTTTGATCAAATTTGGAAAATGCATTTATTTCTTACTAAACTAATAACATAAAAAACACTTTTACCCTCCCTGTTGCAGTAAACCTAAGTAATCGTTAAACTAATTCTATTTAAATAGGGAATAAAAATGTGATATTTTTAAGGAGACATTTAAGTGTAGGCCTACATTTCAATCAGGCAAATGGCATTGATTCGCTTAGTCTGCAGGTTTGCTGTGGCGGGGGTAATTTTTATAGTTATTTTAGGTAAACATTTAGTATACATTACTGATGGAGAGTTCTAACAAGACCAAGGTTTGAACAGTGGCCGTACAAAAAATATTAAATATGACAATGGCATTGAAAACTCAAAATTATTATTAAATATTATCTAAAAGTGTCCAAGTGCACAATATTTTAGCTAATTATTTGTAAAACTACTAAATGTTTTATTGTGTTTTTGGTTGGATGAGAATAAAACCAATATAACATCAGCAGGACTTACAAACTAAATCTTTTGTCAAAAAACATAAAAACTACAATTAAATTATTTTAAATAATTATTCATTTTTAACAGGTCTGGTCTGCAAGCCACATATAATATGAAATACTTAACAATAATTTTAAATTGTTTTATGGTTTTAAGAAGTGTTTGAGCTGTTTACTTGTGAAGAAAGGTGTAGAAGATTTGATCAGCTGTATTATGATGTGAACAATGTGAATAACCTGGAAATGTGACCTTGAAAATAACTCCATTGCCATTCTGTTTTGATCCATAGTTGCTGAAAGGTTGGCACCCTGCAGACAGCTCAGATTTGGAGGTAAGTGACCTAACCTAGCAATTCTGTTTAAACTTTTAAACATTATTGACTTACAACAATTAACTGCAATTAACAGTGCCAGTAATTAAATTTGTGGATATCATCAGTATTAACATTTCAAAGAAGAATAACAATCCATACAATACAATAATAGTTAATTTAATTCCACTAAGAATATAAAAAAGTGAATATTAATTCACAAAACTCCATGGAGTAATATGTAAAATAAAGTAAAAACCCATTTTACAAATCTGTGTATGTCATTGATAAAATGTGCAAGTGCAATGATACTTAATAAATAAAGTTTTTAAATCATGCTACATTATTTGTTATCTCCTTAGTAGGTTAATCGTTACATGTAGCAGTATTCTAGATAAAAACACAAAATTTTATTGAATTCTTAAATTTATTAAGTAAACAATCCATTCTAACTGGAAATAATATTAATTCCTTCCAGTATTTCACTCTTTGAGTACCATACCTACTGTATGTGTATTTTAAAATATATTTTAAGTTAAGAAAATACAAGTATTTATTTTTATTTTTCTCTTACTAAAATTGTAAACCTATGATTGGTATGTTAACTACAACTAGTTAGTTCCACACTACTGCTACATGTCCAACTAAATAATATATTCACTATCAATATTGACCTTGTGATCTAATTAGGTACACAGTTAAACACTGATTAGATCAGATCATAGACATAATATTATTTTACTTACTTACTTCTTACTTCTTGGTGCGTGCTTCCAGCTTCAAGTGATGCCGACCACACGGTGTCTCTCGTATACATAGCTTGCTAATCTCCAACAGTTAGGCTCAGTCAGGATTCTTTTGAGGGAACAGTCAGGTTGGAGTTTTCTCTTTAGCTCATCTCTCCCGTCTGACTTGCTGGGACAATGCAGGAGGATGTGTTCTAGAGTCTCTTCTTCCAATTGACAAACGAGACACAGGGGTGACTCTGCCAGGTTAAATCGGAAGAGATAGGATTGTGTAATTATATGTCCTATTCTTGCTCTTGAGGCAAACGATGCTACTGATCTGGGAAGGTGTTTGAAGACTTCGATGTTGTTGGGTTCTTTGAGGAGGCTATAAAGATGGCGGCCAGTAGGTTCATCGTTCCATCTCTCTACCCACCTGTGTCTCAGAGTTCTGTGAGCTGTGGCTATGCAACTGGAGAGAGTTGGTTGCTTCGGTGGTATTGGATGCATGTTGGAGGCTGCTTTTGCTATTTTATCAGCTTCTTCAGTGCAGTCCGCAGTGACCCGGTATCCATTGTAAACAAATATTTTTGCCTGAAGCTAGATCCAGGAGATGAAATATTTCTTCTGTTATATGATAATAGTTTGAAGGCTTATATTGTTTTAGAAGCTGTAGTGCGCTTTTTGAATCGCTGAGGATGCATATGTTCTCATTATTGACATAATATTATTTTCCCATGTCAACTTTATAATAATATTAAGAATATAAACTTCTGTGATTTTTAGAGGTCAGAGTTTGAGATAGTAGCATGATAGTAGGTACACTGACTGGTGGAGCTTTATAAAGAAACCCAAATTAATAAAATATTCGTGGCAAATATTGTTTGCAGACAAAATTTATTTAATAATACATAGGCCTATTTGTTTTGTAAAATGTTCTTGAGGGAGATATTTTGTAAAATGGTGTGGCTTTTGCTGTAAGGATTGAAAAATTAAATATTAAATTGACTATAAAATTTACTAAATAGCCTATAGGTTACTTCACATTCGTGGCTTTAAAAAGATGTATTGTAATATACAAAATGTGAAAAGTTTATTATACCAACTATGAGTTAACATTGTATTTTTTCACAGGAATTAACATATCACATATAGTATGAAAGTCTTCAAGAAGTACGCTGGAAGCACTGCTAGAAAATATTTGGCGAAGAGGAATCTAAGCTGTCCAATACGAGCAGATGTTCAGGAAACAAAGACAGGAGCAAAACCTTTCAATAGCATTCCTGGTCCAAAATCTCTACCATTAGTTGGTACTCTGTGGAACTATGTTCCTCTTTTGGGTAAGACAATTAGACAACTATTATTTTTTTATATTTTTTTTAGCTCGAAGCAATTAAGTTTAGAAGGGTCTGTCCGAACTTAGACCATCCACGGAGATTGAAAACTGAAAAATGATTTAAGTTATTTTGTATTTTCAAGTGGTATGAGTAATCTATGGGGAAAGATGTATGAAAACACTCAACCTATGTGGATGGATGGATAAGTGTATTAAAACTTGACTGGTCACGATCCTGTAGACTGAAGTTTGGAGATTTTATACAAAATCTATATCTTAAAACATAATGCACTGGAAAAGGTTATGAACTACGTACTAAGATACTTTATCACTATAATTGGTTCCTTTTTTACAATGTTCTCCTTTTATACAAGACGACAAGCCAATGACAAGTAATGTTTTCATTTTGTGCTCATGCGTTGATACCTTTATCTAAATTTCCTTAGGCCTATATTCTTATATTTACCAACTTTTCTGCACATTTTCTAGCACAGTATATTAATCAAAGTAAAGCAGATACTGTAAAATTTGCCCTGAAATAAGAGAGAAACAGTCAAAACCAGTACACCAAAATCTAACCTGAAATCAAAACAGATTTTACAATGTAAAGTCTTGCACTTTTCAAATAACTCCCTTATTTCACTAAACTTGTTTTAAGGTAATCTTATATGATCCAAATATTTCTTTTAGGAGAGTACAGATTTGACCACTTGCACGTGAATGGGTTACGTAAGCTGCGGAAGTACGGACCTCTAGTGAGGGAAGACATTGTACCGGGGGTGTCTGTTGTTTGGGTCTACACTCCTGAAGACATTGAAACAGTGTATCGGTGTGAGGTAATACAGTCAAGAAGGTTTTCATCTAATTTAACTAATTTACGCTAAATTTATAGGAAATATATTTGTTGAAACAAAAAAGTACCCGTGGTTAGTATAAAAATCATGAAAACGTCACTGTTCATTTTAGCTGCTGAAAAGGGCTCAAATATTTTCTACCTGTAGTAAAGCCTCATTGCTAAGTAAAGGTAAAGCTAGTAGATACTGAAAATTAATAGTTGTAAATATTTTCGATTTTATATTCAATAAAAATCATAATTTAAATATGAATGAGGATGATGTGGGGAAATATTTTTAAATATCTGTACTGAAGCTGATATATCTTGCACAGGGTCGTTACCCTGAACGCCGAAGTCACCTTGCACTCCAGAAGTATCGGAGGGATCGGCCACATATTTATAACTCTGGAGGGCTTTTACCAACGTAAGTATGAGAAAGATAAGATAAACTTTAAAGCATAAGGAATAAAATATCAGAAACATACAGCTGGCAATTAAGCTTGGGAGATAAACACTTCTCCTACAGAAGCATTTATTATGGAATCAATCCAAGAGTCAAGCAGTACTCTATTGGGAGTTTAATGAGCTTTAAAGTAAGTCCATGTCTCAAAACAACAAGGAGAAAACACAGCTATTCTTGATCATTCATCAGCTGGTCTTGGCGAGAAAACTGGTCTTGGCCAGTAATTAACGTACACAGATCATTTCCTTCTATAATTCACGTCATCTTGCATTTCTAAATAGAATCTGCATTGTTGAAGCTAGGTGCATTACGTCAAGAAAGAAATAGTTTGTTTTGAAAGGAGTGTAGTGTGCTGCTGTAATAAACTGTTTTTTTATACACCAAAACTAATTGTGTCAAATTGAAAGAGAAACTTATTATAAACATTGGTTATCCCTACCTCAAACTACACCATAGTTAAAACAATAAAAAGAGAGACTAGAATAACTTTAAACCGGGTACATGCAAACTCATAAAGTGTACATTTAACCACAGTATGTTTTCCTGCATATGGAAACAGCATCTCTAAGGAGGATATGGCAAGAGTTCAAAGAATTCAAAATTCTGCAATAAGGTTCATTTTTGGCCTTAACCGCTTTGACCACGTGTCCTCCTTCCGAGATGCTGCAAAGCTCATCCCAATGGATGAAATATGCAGGCGGAGGCTGACCTTCTGCCTGGTCCATAAAGTGCTCACGCTGGGAGAGCCTCAGTACCTCAGCGAGAGGCTTAAGTACAGGGGGGAGATCTGCCTGCGTGGTACTCGTTCCGACCGCAGGCTTCACTTTCCTAAAGTGAGGCTTGAGGTTGGAAGAAAGTCATTTTCTTATTTTGGCCCGCAGTTGTATAATGGCCTCCCTCAGGACATAAAGAGCTCCAAATCGTATGGCTCATTCAGGGCCGCAATGCAGAAAAACAAATGTAAATTGTAAATGTTTTTTCTTTGGATTTTTTTTTATATTAAATTTCTGTATATATTAGGATAGTTTAGTTTTAGTTTGACTTGAGTAAGTTTGAAAATCATGTATATGAAACTCGCTTGTAAATAAAGGCCTTTTTATTTATTTATTTATTTATTCTTTGGGAAAACTTGTTTACAGCTGGTTCATATCAATGGGGATATCAATTTCACCATTCAAAATCAATAGTAGTATCCTATGGCAAAACCTTTATGGTGCTTGTTTGATGAAATATCTACTCCACTACTTCCTTTTGAGAAATAAACCTAAAGCTGTGTTTACACCAGTAACAAAGGCAGTAGGCAAAGTCAGGTGACAGGCTACTAGGGTAGGTTACCTGCCTAGTGTATTTCAAGTTTCCTGAGGCAGGTAACCTGCCTGCTAACTGCCCTTAAAAGATGGTCTTCTCAGGTTCTAATCTGTTTGGTCCAGAAATCTATATCACAGAGGAGACCCTTCACAATAATTTCCAAAATAATTTCTACAAACTGTGCTTCTTCCATGGTTCCAGTAATGGGGAGGAGTGGTGGAAGTTGCGCTCAGTTTTCCAGCGCTGTCTCAGTCGAGTGCAGGATGTGCGCTCGCACTTGCCTGTCACTGACACTATCATGACAGAGTTTACCAAGTACGCAGCCAAAAACTCAATACCAACAACAGACTTTTTGCCTAAACTTTCCCGTTTGCATCTGGAATGTAAGTAAAAACCAGTCTGTTACTTTGTAGAATGTCTTTAGGCACCAACAACTACATACAAATATAAATGAATGACTATCAAAACTCAGGAGGATGAAAATAAAACTAAATGTTAAAATTCACAAAAAATCTGCACTTCCAATGCAGAAAGAGTGTGTTTTGATCAGTTTTAAAAATTTATAAAAACCAATTATTAGTGTAGAAAAAGATGTAGATGTACAGATTTTTATTTTTTATAGATGCACAGCCAGCTATAAAAATACCATAATATTAAAATCATGGTAAATAAAGTAAATTCTGGGACAACATTTAGCCTATAATCTAAGATTTTACTTGTTGTATTTTTGTTACTTTTTGACGTACCGTACCCATTTAGTTGTGTTTGTCAATCCATCTTGTACGGTAATTTGCATGGAAGGATTTTATAAAAATAAAAATTGTAAATAAAAGGTTAAATACCGGAATACCGGTAGTAGTGTCGGTGATCCGGGTTTAGATGCTGACCTAAGCCGGGATCACCGACAGTAGGCCTACTACAGGTAGTTAACCTTTTATTTATAAAATACGTGATCCAGAGGCTAAACATGTTAAAAATCGTAAACTTTTGTGCCTTATTGGCAGTTGTACTTTCCTCATCATCAACAGTCTCTCCTGTTTGCATGATACTCCGTTCATAAAATATAGGTTTGAGGGGAAGCGATTCCAACCCCATCCCTCACTTTAAATTTGAAACAAAAGCGACAGCTGATCAGCTGATGTATAGATTAAGCTACAAAAGTGGGGGGAACCCAGGAAACCTCCCCCTTAAATCACCTACATTTTGTGAACAGACTATAGTAGGTACTGGGTACTGTTCACCTGAAGTACCCTAAAGGTCTAACATTCTTTCATGCACAACATTCCAGTGACTTGCATGACAGCGTTCTCCACAAGACTACAGAGTTTCTCAGACCCAGAACAGCTGTCACAGTCGCGCAGCTCACAGCTGATCAGTGCTGCGGCGACCACCAACAGCTGCATACTGCGGACAGACAATGGCCCGCAACTGTGGCGATGGGTTCGAACACCTCTGTACCGCAAACTGGAGCAGGCTCTGCACACACTTGAGCTGTAAATTAGTTCTGATTGTGTTATTGTAGTAGTATTGTTGAATAGTATAGTGTATATGATGAGGTCCGATATTTTGATGAGGTTCTATGCCGCATATTTTTAACATGTTTAATAGTTTGAGTAGGTTTGCTATCATAATACAGAGACAACTCCGTTTTTGTTTGGACACATTAGAGGCTGGATCACTATTCAAACTAAAATACAGCTGAACCATAAACACCTTCTGGATTTATAAGCTAACTAGCTGTGTACCCGTTCTACGCACGGGGATCTTATAATATTCAGTTGAAACCTTCTTATATAAAGAACAGCAGTTGGTTTGCATATTTTAAGATATGCTGGCCAAACTATTATACATAGCTTCATTTTATGTTGTTTTTTGTTGTTCCGGATCGGTATGACAATCAATAAAAGGTTAAATTACCTCTGTGTCTGCCGGTCGATCCTATAACGGTAGGCTTACTTTTATTTTTACTATCTGATCTCGTTTGCATGGCTCAATCACGTCCTGGTTGAAGTTCGTTCGCTACGCTCACTCACCTGTATGTTGGAGCTCGTTCGCTGCGCTCACTTTCCTTCAGGTTAGCTCGTTCGCTACGCTCACTTGCCTTCAGGTTAGCTCGTTCGCTACGCTCACTCGCCTCCAGGTTGCAAATTAGCTGTTGTCATAAATGTAAAAGAAATAATAGTGCTAGTGCTGCACCCTGTTGGTAATCCTTGTAACTTTAATGCTATTGAACATCACAGAACAGAACCAACTTGTTTAATTGAAACAGCTGTTAAGATTCAATAATTTCATTTCTCATAAGGTTAACATGGGCTTCCAGAAATTCCACGTCAAAAATCGACAAAAACTTGATTTTCAAGGGTTTACTGTTAAATATCTAACTGTCTCATATTCGATGAAATACGTCTAAAACCATCTCATATATGTATAGTATTTGGAAAATAAGTTTCAGGCGGGACAGTGCTATAGTTATTGAGGAGTAGTTGTAATAAAGTGCGTATTTTAGCGTTACCAAGAGAATGACAGATAGACAGACAGACAGACAGACAGACAGACAGACAGAAATTGAGATAAGGTTTGATTCGGTTTCTCTGACCTATGAAATGTAAAAATAACCAAAAAGTTCATTATTCTAAGCAATGTACAGACAAAACTCTAATTTTATTTATATAGATTTAAATGATATAAGTTCCTTTTTCATTTATAACAACCGTATGCAATATGAAAAACTAAAACACAGAGTAGAAGACAGGTTATCCACACAATCTGAACGAGCATAAGCAGTATTGGCCTTACCCTTGTTTGAACAACTTCAAGTCTGGACCAATGTCCAAACTAAAAACGGGGAGAAGGTAGTATTAAAATTAAAAGATACATGTCATAACTACTACTCTATTATAAATGCAGTACTGGTACCACAGTAATTACTGTGTATAATTACACAGTATACACACAATAAGGGAAAACACCAATAGAAAGTTCAAAATTGGTTTACGGTATACATATTTACTCTAGGACTGCTGTCGCGCTGGTAAACAAGGTGCAGCAAGAAAGAGAAGGCGGGAAGGCAGGCTCGTCACTTGTGGCCCAGTACCTAGCAGCTGCTGATCTCAACATTAGAGACATCTACGGGATGGCTGTAGACTTGATATTGGCTGGGATAGACACTGTGAGTACATCCTGCAGTGACTGGAGACAAAACAAGAAATTTGTTGATGGTCTTGTACAGTGCTTCATTTTGGAATTGAGGTAACAATAATATTCTTGGGTATAGTTGTATATTTCCCTATGTTTTCCACTTTGTGTGGCATCTCGTATGTATAAGAAGACCCCCCTGAAGATACCAACTATACAACAAAGACTAGCTACAATTAGAACAGAGGTAACACAAAAACTAACAACTACTGTAGTACAATGAAGTACCAAATTCCAAGGGTTTGTTACCCAGACAGCACACTTTCTCCTCAGGACATCCCACGGATATTGCGACAGGATATGCAAGATATCCCATAGTGGTCCTATGGTCAACTTGGGATATCACAGGATATCCACAGGAATGCCTAATGTCCCCGCCCGGGGATGTCCTACGGATAAGCTCACACGCATATCCGTGGGACATCCAAGGTCATCCCAGGGTAGTCCTCAGGTCATTCTCAGGACATATGGGACTACTATGGGATGTCCCTGGGATAAAGTGTGGTCTGGGCCTGAACATAAAAAACACAAAATAATATAGATTTAGTATGAAAAGCTTAATTATAAGTTTAGTAAATTGATTAAATCTTACTAATATTATAAATGTGAAAGTTTGGATGTATGGATGTATGGATGTATGTTTGTGACAAGTGAACGCAAAAAATACTGGTCGGATTGGGCTGAAATTCGGCATGATGATAGCTCATATTCCCGATTAACATATAGGCATATTTTTATCCCAAAAATCCTTCCGGGCTCCGCCCCAGTGGCTCTGGAGTTTCCCATGTTAACCTTATGAGAAATGGAATTAATGAATCTTAACAGCTGTTTCAATTAAACAAGTTGGTTCTGTTCTATGATGTTCAATAGCATTAAAGTTACAAGGATTACCAACAGGGTGCAGCACTATTATTTCTTTTACATTTATGACAACAGCTAATTTGCAACCAAAAGGTGAGTGAGCGTAGCGAACGAACTTGAACCTTGAGGCGAGTGAGCGTAGCGAACGAGCTAACCTGAAGGCAAGTGAGCGTAGCGAACGAGCTAACCTGAAGGAAAGTGAGCGCTGCGAACGAGCTCCAACCTAAAGGTGAGTGAGCGTAGCGAACGAGCTCCAACCTAAAGGTGAGTGAGCGTAGCGAACGAACTTCAACCAGGACGTGATTGAGCCATGCGAACGAGATCATCTTGAAAATTAAGAAGTTAAACGGGGCAAAGCCCGCGGGTTACAGCTAGTAGTTAATAAACACAAATTTTGAAGAAAAAAACGAGAAAAAAGTTTTTGGCCCAGACGGGTTTCGAACCTGGTACCTTCGCCTTGTGAGCCTCTTACCTTACCTCCTGAGCTATCTGGGCTTGTTGATCATTGGTGTTTTCAAGTGGTTAAAGAGTAGCCGACAGTTGCAATGGTCGCAATACTTAAAATATTTTTGATACTACAGTATAGGCTATATATGATTCTGTTAATCTGTTTGGACCTCAAGTAGTTGAATTGTTTTTCTGGTAGTTGGAGAGGATACTGGTATTTGAATATAGATTATTTAATCACCATTAGATTAGCACTGTAATAATTGATTGTTATATGATTAAAATTAGTTTTTTGTTGTTTTATTAATTTAAAGTTAGAATTAAATTCACATTTCACACAACTATGTTAGAACTCTAGTTTTCCTGAACTCAGTGGTAGTAATATATGTCAGTAAAGTAAAGTCAACCCTTGCTAGCCATAGTATTAATAAGGCATATTTTCAATCTGGGAAACCTTAAACTTTTAAAATAAATTATAAAACCTCAACATCTTAATGCGTAGGAATCTTATTTTTAGAAAAAAAAACAGACCAAAATTATTTGTTAAATAATGAAGACGGCCCAATTATAAATTCGGAATTACTGAAAATAATTACATCAAGAACAACACTGTAACATATCCAAAATTCAAAAGATTAATTTTTCTAATACCGTATTATTTTTTTATTTTTCCAATATCCTTTAAATCATCTGTTTTAACTTTGTTTAAAATTAATTTATTAAGTAAATATTTACTTTTTGTACTAGTGTAAACACAGCCTGAAGATGGAAACCAAGTTTCTGAAAGCACTAGTGAAAAAAACTAATTATTATATATTGGCCTTGTTGAACATTTAAATTTAGATATACTGTACATTTCATCAGTGGTAGTATTTTTTTTTTCTTCAGTTTGTCACCGGGACATTACGGGACATTACCGGACATTACAGGATATCCAGTGGATTTTGTACATGTCCTGGGATGTCATGGGACATTCTGGGATATCCTATGGCATTCGTACATATCCCGGGACTTTACAGGATATCCTGAGGTTAACTTACAAATCCCGGGACTTTACAGGATATCCTGAGGTTAACTTACAAATCCCGGGACATTACGGTATATTGTAGGATATCCTGTGGATTTCGTACTCGTCCCGGGATTTTGCGGGATATCCTGAGGATAGCGCACATATCCCGAGACATTCTCAGGACATATGGGACTACTATGGGATGTCCCTGGGATAAAGTGTGCTGTCTGGGTAATGTTGTTATCCTATAGGATTACTCTGCTAAATCCCTTTTTTTTACCATTTACGTAGTTTTACTACCTTTCACTGGTGGTAATTGTAAATAATGTAAATAAACCTGTGAAATGTAGCAAACACTGCAGCAATTGCCGAGCTTTCTTTGTCTATTCTTAACCAAATCCCAACATTATGAAATATTACGTAGTTTCTGTAAAGACTTACTAAACATTTTCCAAGGTTTACCAGCTGTGATTATCCCTCTCTCAATAGTATATTTCGTACCTAGGGCCGAAAATGAGGGTTTGCCGGCTCGAGATAGTTTTTAAGTTCGAGACGAAGTCGAGAACTTAAATCGATCGAGAGCTGCAAAACCATTTCGGCCCGTGGTACGAACGCTATTTTTCACCACACTATACCCTATTACCACTATTCACTATTATAATAATGCACACTGATAGTCAACACAACTACAACTTTAAGGTTATGTAAAGAAATAATTTGAGGAATCAGCAAAAATAAAAATAAATAGTTGCTAGGCAACGGCGACAATAACACAATTCTATTGCAATGCTATGGATTTTGATTGTGTATTTAAAATGCATTCATGTTTTAAGTAAGTAAGCGGACAGCTGACTTTGCGGCCCCGGCCTGTAAAAACCTGCTCGGTCCCCAAATTTCGATGACAGCTGGCATGGCCAGCAAAACGTAACTTTCAGCCACCAATTAACGTATGTAATACAGCCAAAAACATCATAGTGTGGTGAAAAGATACATTTAACCCAATCATATGCTTATCATTTTCAGGCTCTTTTACAAAATACATTCTTGATCTACTAAATCAAGTGATCAACTGTTGCAGACAACGTACACCTCCTGCTTTGCCCTGTACCACCTGGCTACTCACCCCCAAGTGCAGACACAGCTGTATGAAGAAGCTTGTCGTCTGCTTCCGTTGTCTACTGATGCTATAACCTCCACTAGTCTCACACAAGCCGTCGTCTGCAGGGCTGTGGTCAAAGAGACTCTACGGCTCAACCCCGTGTCTGTCGGAGTTGGCAGGATACTCGCTAAGGATGCTGTCCTCTCAGGCTACAACGTACCTGCTGGTGTAAGTTTTGAAAGTTGTTTTTAGGTTCGATGATGTTATGTATTTAAAGTAAATAAATAGTGTCCTGACTGCTGGGATGCAAATAGGTTTGTCCCCCATTCCCATTACTGGGGGTGTAGGGATTATGGTAGACCTCTAACAGAAAGGGGGGTCTCTGGAAAAATGTTTAATTAAAGTAGTTGAAAAAGAGTTTTAAAGCTGTTTGGAGTTTAACACGATGACTGCTGAAAACAACATACAGGCGCTCCCCAGTGGCGGGCGAAGCCCCGGCACGCAACGGAATCAGCGAACGCAATTGGCATTCAAATATTTCAGTCTGACGAATCACAAAAGAGCAGTGGTGACTGTGCTGCGTTACCCCGAGAGTGGATGTAGTTCACTGAAACACCCAAAGGTAGCAGCACTGCACGGATCCGTATCCAGTGTCTTTGTAATGTGGGTTGAAGAGAAAAAATCCCCGAAACCGGGACAAAAGCCGACTATAGTCGGCGTTAGCAGTCAACGTGTTAAAATACTGCTTCGAAGCAGAGTAGTTTTTTCTTGTTCCAAAATTAAGATTTTCTTTAAAGAGAAGTTTACAACAAAATTATTCAAAACAATAGGGTGAACAACTTTTCGTAAATTTGGCGCTCTGGGCTGTGACCCAAAGTGGGGCCTGGGTGGACTTAGTCTGAGTGATATACTTTAAATTTGAAACAGTTTTCCTAATTTATCGATTACCACTGAGCTGGTTAGGTCTCCTATTAAACTGTTTTTTGGTTGTTTGGTGAGTTGAATCAGAAGATGTTGGTAGTCTTAGTTTTAGAGATATACTCTAAAATGTTTTCCTAATTTATCAGTTACTTTTAAGTTGTTTAAGCTCATATTAAAATCAGTTGAATACTCTAAGCCAAATCAAGTCTAACAATTTGCAAAGTTCCTGTCAGGATCAGTCGTTGGAACAAAAATTAGTGGAATCGGAAATGTAAGGTTGAATTCTCTTGATTTCAAGCTAAAATGGTTTGAATTATCTTGCCCTGTCAAGTGATCTTGTATTATTATGATATATATAATATGTAAAACTTCTCTTCTCCCTGAAGATGTCACACACCGTGGTGAAATATATCGGAGGAAACTTCTAAAATCCTGTAAGAACAAAGGCTATCAAACAATTAAGGTAACTAATAATTCAATTTTATAGTTCTTGCCACTGGGAAGATAAATAAAATCACGACAAAAACTTACTTATCATTATCATATAAACTTCACATATTTGACCATTACAATATTTGACCACTCAACATACCAACTGTACTGTTGTTTGGCTTAAACAATAACAGTATTGAATTCATGTATGTAGAATAACTACAACAATTAAATTTGTAAGGCTCGGCCACTTACAGGTAGTTGGACTGCTGGCAGTTTACTGTGGTTGAGATGGACGGACATGGATGATGTTATAATGTAGGTGGAGAATTTATCTTCATGCATTACATTTAATGTTTTCCTTAAAAATGTGGAATTTTCAGACAGTTGTGGTGACCCAGAACCAAGTAACATGTAGACTAGATGAGTACTTCCCTCAGCCCAATGACTTCATACCTGCTCGGTGGATGAAGGGCACTCCAGAGTACAGGACCTGCAGCCCGTACCTTGTGCTGCCCTTTGGACATGGTCCTCGGGCTTGTATTGCCAGGAGACTAGCCGAGCAGGCACTACAGGTTCTCCTGCTTAGGGTGAGCATCTATGCAAATCTTTCAAACATTCTCGAGTCATATGGATAAGAGGGAATAAATAGTGGACTATAACAGTGCTAGCATACATAAGTATACTCTGTTATTCCAGGTCTAGGCGATGACGAGGCTTCCCCATCTTCTATCCCTTTCTCTTACTCCCCCCTTTGCCATCTCTCTTCTCTCCTCTTATCATCCTATCCTACCTCAAACATAAGACTATATTGTAACTGTAACAAATCAGAAATAAACATATTCCTGTGAGGATAATTTAATAATAATAATTTATAAGTTTTAAGTGGAAAATCATCGCTAAATGTGAGCTGAAGTTGCAGGTCTTCCATAATCTCCCCTACAGTATTATCATCTGCATATTTGGTGAGTCGGTGGCTCAGTCGGTAGTGTCATGGATTTCAGGCTCAAGACAGCGATGTCTTGGGTTTGGATACTGGTCATTGCTGCAAACATTTTATCAGTACAGTTCACCCTTGTACTGTACCGGCTCACCCCTTGCTTTGCTGGATACGTTCCACGCACAGGCAAATAGTCTATGTGGACGAGCAAATGCAAGGTTAAAAGACCATAATTATTATATTCCTCCACACCCATTTGTTTCAAACTATTGAAACTAACACTCCTTTTTACTGGATTATATCAATAACTAAAAAACCATGACTTCGCCAACCCTGGTGTTCTTGTAGGAGGCTAAAACTTGGAGATTGTTTATCTTGTCACTGTTGCAGATGGTACGAGAATACGAGCTAAGCTGGGAAGGAGGAAAACTGGATGTTCGTTCTCTTCTGATCAACAAACCCGACGGTCCAGTTCTGTTAAGACTCAAAAATAGATCTTGATATCATTGTCACCCATAGTTGATTCTCTTGTAAAATAATAAACCCCCCACTTTCACAAATCCTCTGACCTATGTACCAAGTTATTATTAGTGCTACAGGGAGGAATAAGGTGTGTTTTTTATTGAAATGTAAAAAGCTTAGTATAAAATTAATAAATTTGGAACATTTGATTAAAGTCTATGTTATAAATAAATTTTAAACTTGAAATGTTTGTTTAGGTTATTCGATCAGCTGAAACATGTGAATAAAATTTATCAAAACAAACGAATATTTACTTCTTAAATCCAAGTGTTTTGTTTTTACTTCATCCATGACGACCAACAAACTTGGCCTGTGCTTCCTACGAGAAATAACCCTGGAGATGAAATAAGATTATAATAAGAAGTAAGATTTTACTTTAGAAGTCTAAACCAGAACAATTTAAAAGTAAGTACCGCTTGGATTCCTTAGCTTTTTTTAGTTATTTATTTACGACATAGCCTTCATTTTGACATACCTATAAGTTATAACCATTCTATGACATGTACATTTAAGAATTCCATCTTCAAACATCACCTCTTATTTTTTCTGTAGGCCTACAGGTTTCAATGAATGGTTTGTTGTGTTGAATTTGTTACCGACAGGAAACAGTTTTTATATCAGTTTTGATTCGGTTCTTTACCAAGGGACGTAAAACACTGTGTTTTATCCATTAGAGTATTTGAACTCATAAAGCCCTCTCATAAAATACGCTCAGGTACGTCCTCTCATAAATACATGCTAAAAATAACTCTATTATCATGTTGATGAGAAACCTAAGCAGTGTCCAAAATTGGTTGTAGCAAACTTGGGCATACTGTACTATCAAAGCAAAGATGGTTGACTCCGGCCAAACTGTCTTACTAGGCAATAGTCCTTATTCCTTTCAAACTGACTAAGAAGGAATTCCCCTAAAAGTTACCTTTCCCATGACTTTAAATAATGCACATGGACAGATGATAAGGAAGGAAGGATTGTACGTGCCAGACCCCGTTTTTACACAGTCAGATTTTTGTGGCTTTGTCAAGGGAGCGCTTTTTCAGTGAAAACTATGTCTATGTAAAAACAAAGCCATCAACACAAAATTCAAATATGGCCATATTATTACTTTAAACATAGAAAAGACGTTCAAAGACATCCTGTAAACATCTCAAAACGTAAATATCTAAATAACGTAAACAAATTTTTTAAATTACTTTTTTTAAACTAAACTTTTTAAATTTAAATGTGATGAGTAAAGCCAGAGGTGTTACTTATAAAGGGTGCGCCAAAATAACCTGACGGTTTTTAATACTAAATAACTCAATAACAAACTACAATTTCATGTATTAAATAACGTTATATTGTACACACTACTATGCCATTTTCATTTATGAAAAATTATATCACTCAGTTTATATCGCCTTCTCCTAAACACAGGCTTCCCATTTTTTTGCATATTTGCAGTCACCTTCGCCTGATGAATAGAAGCAATCTCTTCCCTGATACACTCTATGAGTTCAGGGATGGTTTGAAATTTCGAAACGCTTTTTAAGTATCCCCACAGCCAACAGTCACACAAAATTAAGTCTGGGGATCGAGCTGACC